GGCTTTGTATGTTAGAAGAAATAATTTGAATTAAATTCTGAATTTGACAGGGAGCCACTGGAGAGAAGATAAAACTGGAGAGATGTGATCTAACTCCAGTTAAGACTCTGGCAACAGCATTTTGGATCAACTGAAGACTTTTTAAAGAAGTATTTGGACACCCGGATAACAAACCATTGCAACAGTCCAGAAACAAACAACCATTCACTCTCTCACTCACACGATCCAGCAAATCTTAAAATAACAAATTCCAGATTCGTGACTTCTGAGCCTAACAGAAAATGATCCTGTTTAAATGTTAAAAGTCTGAATTATGACCCACACCAAAGGTAAAAAAGGGATACTATTGTTTGCTGTGTCTGTGTATTTGTTCATCAACAAATAATCCAATTTTTGTGAACCTTTCAGAAAGTGAACGCTGTTGCATTACACACTTTGGGTATGCTTCTGGCCGACTTACCTGTTCCTAGATTACTGAGTGAACTAATATTGAATTCTCACGTGTTGCAGTTTCAACTCCTGTTGTTCTCCTTCAGCTGTCTCTTCTCCATCCAACCACTGCCCAACAACTCCCTGGATTATCCTCTGACTAGTCTCTCGTGTTCTTGGAACCTTTGGATATTGACCCACGCTCTCATCTTCAGTAGACCATACTCACCTCTCCCCTTGTTCTCCAGTGTTCTGGGTTCCTCCAGCAACTGAACCTTATTATTCACTGTACATAATAAACACTGTTCCTTTTTCTACTACGAGTCTTGAGTTGTTCTTCTCAAACCATTCTCAACCTTAACAGCAACCACAAAGCTTTTAATTTCTACAATAGTCCCAATCTGAAGTTTCTAAACATTCTTCCTCTAAAGTTAAACTTGCAGTCGTGACCACATGAGAAAGTGTTAAAAACATCTTTCTCACAGAGATTCCTTCCAATAAAATGATTAATTTTCAATTTTCTGCTGATAACTTACACCCATCCTCCCTTAACAGCCTTCTTCTCACTTCATTCCCCCCTCCCGCTCCTCACAGCCCACGTGCTTCCTGCGATTTGACTCTTTTTACCCCACTTTCCTGTGTTCACACTCCCTTCAACCATGTGCTTCAATTAACAGAAGGAGGGCTGTGTTGTCAACATGTTATTCCATGTCTCCGCTCAGTGAAAACAAACAAAAGAATCCATTGTTGTTGTGGGATGTAATGACGTAAAGGGGGACGCAGGAATCCTGGGGGTAGCAGGAATAAGGGTTTCTGATGAAAATATTAAAGCACAAAATGCTTCCGATTTTCAAAGAACTCACTCAGAGGAGTGGTAGAAGAGTAGTATACACTGATTTTCAAACTCATTGACCATCATGTGAGGAAATACTATCAAGACAAGCTAATAGCAGTGAATTATGCTGCATTTAATGCATTAAAAACTCTGTGGCAACATGTTATTGGGTAGAAGTTGTAAATAATACGAGACTAATTTATTTTTTTAGATGAACAAATAAGACAGAAGTTCAATTATTGACATGAATGATGATTAGAGAAGGAGACGGGTTGAAAACAGCACAGAATCTAGAACAATGGACGATCAACATGCAACAATCTCGTGATGAGGAAGAAGGTCCAGCTGGGGTTGGAGCTCCAGGCAGCCATGTTGGATTTTGATGTTGGGTGTAGTGAGAAGCCACAAGCTTTTCAATTTTGATTTCCAACATGATATTTCAGTAGATTTTTCTGACTTAAAACTTTGCAATTTCAATATTGGGGATGCACCAATGATCTACTGAAGACCTGGGTCATTCCTTAATGGGGGGAGAGGTGGGTATTATTCTTAGGTGTTCAAACCAGGCTTCTTAAAAATGAAGAGTCCTATTTGGACAATTTTTTAGATTTTAAAACCTAGTTTCAGAAAACAACCAAATCAATCCTACAAGTAAAACCCATAGTTCACATTGTTACTGTTGGTTTTGCTACGAAAAAGCTTGTGTTCATGTGTTGTTTGGAGCTAAACGTTTTTGCAAACTTCTTCTGAGGCAAACAGGTCTGAAGGTAACATCAAGACAAACACAATCCGAAAGACATCTGTGCAAAACCAAATCAGGAAAACCTGTTATCTGGTCCTGTGAGTGAAAGTGTTGTCCCGTTTGTACAGACTTTTGCACGGTGACTGCTAGAAATAAGCACCAGCTCCGAGCCACGCAGAATAAATAAAAAATAAATCAAGTAAAGAAAATGGATGGAGGTTTCCTGGCCAGGAATAAATAATTTATGGACTGGAGCCAAACATGGAGATGAGAAATCTTTTGTTGTAGTAGCTGTATAAATGTTCCAAACATTAGCATAAATGTGTCCCAAATATTTGCTTATTTTCTCTCTGCTCTCTTTTGTTCGCTTTCATTCTTCAACAGTGAAATATGTCATCAGAAAATTAGCTGTTTGCCTCATTGGTTTTCTTGTCCATGTCTCAGATTGCCCTGCTGCAGCTTCAAAAAGTGATCGTTTCTTCATAAAGCCTACAAAATACAACAGCATCCCCCAATGAAACGATCACTATTTGACGGCTCTTCAGCTGCAATCAGTACAAAAAGGCACTAAAGGTATGAGAGTATATCACACTGCAGCTAGCTGATGATAATGACTTTGAGTCTGTTAAATATCTCCATCACTGATCTTGCAAGGGAAAAAAGGTCCCTTGATATCCCCAAGAAAATGCATTAAAAAATGCGCATGAAAAAAAAGAATACTTCATAAAAATTCATCTGAGTGGTATTTTGTATTCATGCATTTTTTATACTTTGCTCTGTCATTTCCAGGGTCAGGAGCGCACTGAGCTGAGACGCTCAGCTGCTGTTGCATCAGATCTAAGCTGAATATTTGTAAAACTGACCTGGCTATGCCCATCCTTATGAGGAGTTAAGTCGATTAGATGTGGTGGCCATCTTCATTTGGACTGATTCCAAAAGTTAATCAGGTGTGGATGTACGTCAAATGATAACTGAAAGTTTCATTAAAATCCAACAAGTGTTTCTTTGGATATTTTGCTAACAGACTGAGTTGACTCCAATAGTTAATGGCAACATTAAAGCAAAGATCTTGAACAAATAATAGCACTAGATTACACACAGATAAATCTCAGCTACTGCCATGACAAATTTTTAGAAAAACTTTTTGTTGGCCAATAAGCTGCGGCGGCCATCTTTATTTGTGTTAACTCCAAAAATCAATCAAATGTCGATGTGCATCCTCCAATTATTACTTTGATTAGTTCATTTAAATCTGCTGGGATATTTCGCTCAGACATACATACGCAAAAAAATAAAAAATAAACTAAAACATTATCGCCCGCCTTTTGGTAGAAAGCAGTAAAAATAAGATTGTAGTCATAAAGGCAGGTTGAATGGGGGCCAGGGTGGGGTATAGGCAGGGCAACCAACTCGGACCCTAAAGTCCCAGGTTCGATCCCCAGTCATCTCGTGGTGTCTCTGAGCAGGACACCCTATCTCCAATTACAATACAGGTCTGTCAGACCACGATCCAGTCCTTGCTGCTCCCTCACACAGGAAGAGGAAGTCAGCTCTTCACCATGTTTGCTCTGAACAACTTTTCTGCTCACAATTAAAAAGTGTTATTTTTAACTAATGTTAAGTTTATTGCCCACCACGAAGGCGAAGCAATGTTTTGCTCATGTTTGAGTTAGCAGAACATCACACAAATCACCAATCAATTTTAAATTAAACTTGCAAAAAGTAATCACTTGTTTGACATCTACAGCTGATTAGCTTCAAGTCAATCCCATTCAACATGACCGCCACAGCTAATAAACTTTAGCTAACACAAAAACGGCTCTAACGCAGTCGAGCACGCTATAGATGTAAAAAGAGCAAACATCTTTAAACAGAGGTCTCAGATTTGATCTGTCAAAAACCTTAGGCCTGATACCCAATCACTTTCACTCCAATCAGTAACTCCATTCATGTGACCAGAGTGGCCCACGAGTCAAACAAAGGCACTAACGAACCTCTGTTGTGAGGAGCGAGAGGGCAATCTGCATGTGAATCTACAAACCGGATTCCAGAAAAGTTGGGACACTAAACAAATTGTGGGGATAACACACAGTGGTAAAAATGGACTTGTCCCAACTTTTTTGGGACTTGTTGATGCCATGAAATTTGGAAACAACAGATTTTTCCCTTAAAATGATACATTCTCTCAGTTTAAACTTTTGATCTGTGATTTGTGTTCTATTCTGAATAAAATATTAGATGCTGGCACCTCCACATCATTGCATTCAGTTTTTATTCACAATTTGTTTAGTGTCCCAACTTTTTTGGAATCCGGTTTGTAGCTTACAGAACTCCTGAACTTATAACAAACTCTGCGAAATGAGAAAGCTCCTCGGCTGAGACACAAAACGTCTTCGGTTACAAAATAAAGTCCTGTAAAGTCCAGTTTAAACCTTTTTTTTTAATTTATTTACAGTCAAGGTAGTCATTCACAACAATTACCGGTACGTTTGAGCGTGACATGTTACCGGTATTTCCAAAGTTTGACCAAAATGCTTTGAGGACTTCTTAAATTTTACATGAGAAAAATATCTAGACAAAGGAAAAGGTGATAGACTGGATCGACTCACGGGGAATAGTACATCAGCCAAGTGAGCAGCAGCCATTTTCCAGACAGGGGGTCTCCATCAAGCTTACTGATGAGCTGGTGGTGACAGAGTAGCTGGTTTCATATTCGGTTCATGCTTCTGTCAATCATTCGGATTAATAACACCTCTGCTGAACTTTTCAGACATGAAAAAAGAAAGACTTGAACTAAAGCATTTTTACTTAAAATTTATTAACTTGGACACCGTTATCGGTTTGATGTTCAAACAGTGCAGTGGTTCTCAAATTTTAGGGATCCAAAAAAAAACCCCATTAACACTGTTTTTTAGGAATCACTGGGGATAATAAAAAGAGATTATTTATAAACATTTAAACATAATTTATTTGGATAAAGACAAAAAGGCTGGATGAATTAGAAAATTTTGTTTATTATTATTATTTAAGTCCTTCAACTTAATTTGATGGTCATTTCCTCCCTATGAGGTCATCAAGCACCCGCTCTTGTTTTGAGAACCACTGTGCAAAAAGGATAAAGTCTCATAGACAAAGAGTCCCAACAGGTGGTCCAACGGAAAGAGACTGAGGCTGTGGATGTTCGGAGAATTGCAGCAGCAACAAGTCACAAGGATTACAGGAAGGTCTGGGTCGGCGTTGGTCAATTTCTCTTTGGCTGGGCTGCAATGTAAAGAGCCACCAGGCAGTAGGCCACGCCTCCAACCGTGAGGGCCATGGTGGTGCGGTACAGTAGCCTGTCTGGGTATCCCCGCTTTAAATGAACGGGGTTTCCGTCTTTCTGAGGAGGTAAGAAACAGGAGGAGAAGTTGAGAAAAATAAAACAGAATTCAGAAACACAATCCCTAAAGTCAACTCACTGTGTATGACAGTTTAGTTTCACCTAATGGATGTTTTAATCAACCTTTAAAACAGTCTTTTTAATACCACAACTACAGTATTTTTCTGACTATAAAGGCGCACTTAAAATCCTTAAATTTTCACAAAAATCGACAGTGAGCCTTATAATCCAGTGCGCCTTATGTATTAATTCTGGTTGTGCTTACGGACCTCGAAACGATTTTATGTGGTACAACTGAACAATGTTGAGTTATTGTGAATGAGTTGAATAAAGTTTGACTTATCTGACTGTTTTGTTTCTCTTAATGCGCCTTATAGTCTGAAAAATATGGTAATGACTTTTAATTTTATTTTGAAAAACATATTTTTCAGTCTTGTAACACTGTTTTATTGTAAAAGAATAATTTTCAGAATAAAAGGCTGCTTGTTAATGGTTTATTAGACACAAACAAAACATACACTTTAAATGATACGCTCTACTAAAGGTATTTTTTTTGTAATACCAGCAAAACAAACCTAACACCCATGATAAACAAGGGACTAGTGTACCAAAAAATGTCTGTTTTAATGATGAACACTAACAATGGCTGGGAAAAAAAATGTCCGGATTAGAAAATGGAAAAATGGCACTGAAAGTATTTTTTCAACATATCTATGTTGCAGAATATTTTCAGCTACAGTTTATTAACCAAGATGAGCTACATTCTGTTATACAAGTGAAATTATCTGTTCAGTGCCCTGAGATAACTTCTGTTATGACTTGGCACTATATAAATAAACTGAATTGAATTGGATAAATAAGAATCTCTCGGGTCATGTGTTTAATTAACTAATTTTATGTAAAACTTTAATCTTACGTGTCACATATGCCAGTAGCACACTGTGCTCATGCTTAAGTTTATTGACTGGATCTTTAATTCCTTTAATTTATTCAAAATGAACTTCTGGTGGAAATAAGAAGTTGAGTCCTAGTGCAGGAGTACAGGTTGGGCTAATGCTGGAAATGGGATTTGTCCTAAAACTCAGAGATAGTTAGATGTTTCTCAGTACCTGGAAAATCCTCTGCAGTTCAGGAACCCTGTTTCCTTCCATGTGGTCCACTGCAGCTTCTGACAACACCTTGGTGGGTGTAGCGAAGATCATGGTTGGGGACTCGGCAGGCAACCCTTGCTTCAGTCCCTGAATAATTAAAAAGAGAGCAAACTTGTTACAAAGAAATACTAAATCTGATCGTACACAAACACAGAAAATGAAACTACAACGTTTTAAGAGCCCATGTTATATCTTCTAATGCTCCTAGACGGTTTACTTTTACAATTTTTCTTTTAAAATCCTTTTGTTAGATTCACATGAATATAACCAAGATTTGTTTTCTTCTTCTTACAGACCTCATTTTTATTATTTACCTCTTACATAACCTGCTCTACTTTGCTGCCCACCAGATCCAGCCTTGTGGGCATGAGACCTTGACAGAGCCCTCAACAAATACAAAAAGGGCTGAATGAAAATAAAAGTCTAAAAAAAGAATAAAGGAAATAAAAGAGGATGTGAAGCACCAGAAACAAGATTTTAAAGCGAGAAACTGAGATTTAATTTAGATGTTATTTTTGTTTTAGGTTATGTTGATGATTGAGATTCTTAAATATAATACGTTTATTTCTATGTGGCTAAACCTCATCAGCTGATTTATTGTTAGAATACATTTTCTGTGCTAAGTTAGACTATGCAAGAACTTGACAATTAGTCTAGTACAAACCGGATTCTAAAAAAGTTGGGACACTAAACAAATTGTGAATAAAAACTGAATGCAATGATGTGGAGATGGCAAATGTCAATATTTTATTCGTAATATAACATAGATGACAGATCAAAAGTTTAATCTGAGTAAATGTAACATTTTAAAGGAAACATATGTTGATTCAAAATTTCACAGTGTCAACAAATCCCCAAAAAGTTGGGACAAGTAGCAATAAGTGGCTGGAAAAAGGAAATTGATCATATAACGAACAGCTGGAAGACCAATTAACACTAATTAGGTCAATTGACAACATGATTGGGTATAACAAGAGCTTCTCAGAGTGTCGGTGTCTCTCAGAAGCCAAGATTGTAAGAGGATCACCAATTCCACCATTGTTGCGCAGAAAGATAGTGCAACAATACCAGAATGGTGTTACCCAGCGTAAAATAGCAAATACTTTTAAGTTATCATCATCAACCGTGCATAACATCATCAAAAGATTCAGAGAATCTGGAACAATCGCTGTGCGTAAGGGTCAAGGCCGTAAAACTCTACTGGATGCTCGTGATCTCCGGGCCCTTAAACGTCACTGCACCTCAAACAGGGATGCCACTGTCAAGGAAATAACAGAATGGGCTCAGGAATACTTCCAGAAAGCATTGTCAGTGAACACAATCCACCGTGCCATCCGCCGTTGCCAGCTGAAACTCTACAGTGCAAAGAGGAAGCCATTTCTAAGCATCTCCACAAGCTCAGACGTTTGCACTGGGCCAGGGGTCATTTAAAATGGAGTGTGGCAAAATGGAAGACTGTTCTGTGGTCAGATGAGTCACGATTTGAAGTTCTTTATGGAACACTGGGACGCCTTGTCATCCGGACCAGAGAGGACAAGGATAGCCCAAGTTGTTATCAACGCTCCGTTCAGAAGCCTGCATCACTGATGGTATGGGGTTGCATGAGCGCTTGTGGCATCACAGCTTGCATGTCTGAAAAGGCACCATTAATGCAGAGAACTATGTTCAGGTTCTAGAACAACATATGCTCCCATCTAGACGTCATCTTTCAGGGAAGACCCTGCATTTTTCAACACGATAATGCCAGACCACATTCTGCAGCAATCACAACATCATGGCTACGTAGGAGAAGGATCCGGGTACTGAAATGGCCAGCCTGCAGTCCAGATCTTTCACCTATAGAGAACATTTGGCGCATCATAAAGAGGAAGGTGCGACAAAGAAGGCCCAAGACGATTGAACAGTTAGAGGCCTGTATTAGACATGAATGGGAGAGCATTCCTATTTCTAAACTGGAGAAACTGGTCTCCTCTGTCCCCAGACGTCTGTTGAGTGTTGTAAGAAGAAGGGGGGATGCCACACAGTGGTAAAAATGGACTTGTCCCAACTTTTTTGGGATTTGTTGACACCATGAAATTTGGAAACAACAGATGTTTCCCTTAAAATGATACATTCTCTCAGTTTAAACTTTTGATCTGTGATTTGTGTTCTATTCTGAATAAAATATTAGATGTTGGCACCTCCACATCATTGCATTCAGTTTTTATTCACAATTTGTTTAGTGTCCCAACTTTTTTGGAATCCGGTTTGTATTTGTTTGAACAAATACTCTACAGTGAGATTTTTGACTTTAACAGAAACATAAGTCTCTTCATATTGATCTTCAGGACATTAAGTCCAAAAAAGTGTAGACGTATAAAGATATAAGTGCTTCATTTATTGCAGGTTTTTGACTTGTGATGTGTTTAAGACTGAAAACTGAAGAGCATGTGAGGAAAACATTTAAACATCTAGGTGATTTTTTTTTTAGTGGGAAGCTGTTAAGTTTCTTTTCTAAAGCACAAATACTGTTTTATGATTAACGCACACATAAAAACAATAAACAAGGTAAACTATATCAACAATTAAAAAAAAATCAAATTAAACATTCACCTAATGTAGAATTTCATCCTTTTCCAAATCAAAACCTACCAAACTGTATTTACTGCATTTGATTTTATGAGTTTATTTTATTCTATTTTATTGCAAAGTATATAGTAGACTTATGGTAAATAGAGCAGATTTACCAGATTCATCAAAAAGCAGGTTCATGGAAGTTAATGGGACAGTCACTACCTTGTTACAGTGTGTGGAGGCAGAAGGTGTGGGTGTGCGGAAATCAAGTGCAACACAAAAAAACACAAGGACACTGCAAAAAAAATCTTTTTAAGTAGCAATTTTTAAAAAATCTCAACAAAAATCAATTAACTGTATACTAAAATACACCTTGTTCCTCCTTATTTCAGCATCACACCTAAAACTTTATTTAAATGTGTTGATTTGTTTCTGCTCAAGTCAACAAAACTGAAAAATGTCTAAAAGATTCAAAAAGGAAAAAGAAAAAGTATCCAATAGGATACAACTAAACCCCAAACTGTATGAAAATAACAATGTAATAAAATAAATAACAAATCAGAATAACATTTTAAACCATCTGTGAGTGCATAAAATACAACCCCAAATAAAAATAAATGTTGGGACTTTGTTTCAAATGTAAATAAAACTGAATTAAACGATTTCCAAGCTCATAATCATGTTTTTCACTACACAATAGAACATAGTATATACAGTTATATGTACACACACACACACATTCTTTTTATTTTAGTGCGTGGCAGCAATACATCTAAAAAAACAAAAAAGATGAGATGGGGCAAGAAATGGCTGTACAAGTAAGATGTGCCTGTCAAACAGCCGAAGGAAGACATTTTTGCGTTTAATTAGTTTAATCTGCATCAGGTTAGTTAGAGAACTGGTATAAAAGAGCATTTTAGAGAGGTTGAATTAATTAGATGTGAAGATGCTCATCCTTGAACAATACTGGACTGTTCGTTGTATCTTCTGCTGCTGCTTTTTTTTACTCAAAGAAAGGAAAGTACACCTGTCAGTATGTGAAGGATAAAATTTAAAAGTACACTTGTCAGTGTGAAAGATAATTTTTAAAATAACGCTGTTAAAACTGTTCAACAAACTGGATCCCTCTGTGTGACCAGCATTACAAACAGCACACAAACATTTGGTTAACATGATTTGTGAGTGTATTAAATTAAAAAAAACTGGAGAGGGTTTACCCATGAGCTGTAAAATTATTAAATCAATGTTTATCATGTTATCCTAACCATCTGCTGTGGTCCGATTACCAGTGCAGTGCTGCATGTACCGTTTAATCCACCTGCCGTCTTCAACCAGGTTTCTCCATAAACAAGCATCAACTGAGCAGAAAGACTGATATAAACTACATGAATATCTGTTGCAATATTCTAGACAAAAACTTTAAAACGGGGCTCTAATTATATCTGTAAAACCTGCTACAGGGGAGCAAATTCAAACTAATTTCAGCATTGTTCAATGCTATTGTTTTCTCAAATAAAAAGATTTGTTTCATACATTTTTCTTACCTTTTTACAATGGGAAAACTCTGAAAAAAGTACAATAAAAGTAATCAGTTTGCCACAAACAGAACAGTGCAGTTTTCTTCAGCTACACTGAAAAACAATACTGGAAAATCAATGTCAATTATTCTGCAATGATTTGCCTGCACCGTTTGTATAATGATACAGGCTCCGGTCCCGTGTTTATCATTGGGTAAAACCTCCACACATGACCACCACTAATCAAGCTCAACCATATGTCTTTGTGATCCTGAAAAAATGTTTCAGCCAACACCGTCAACAATATTGTTGATTTGTCACAAAAGGTAAACGACGTACAAGTGGAAAAATAAGAAAAACGCAAGACGTACGATTTCTTTCTCTTCTTTTGTTCGTTTTAAAAAGAAAAGTTGCTTAAAATGGGTATTTAAACATAGTTATCTAAAAAAAGACACGATAAAACTTCATTAATGTCTGCTACAATTGTGGCAGAAATTCTCCTTTGATAAGCTCTACACACACAAGATATGTGTGTATGATGCAAAAACATATGCTTTGTGAAGGCTAACATTGTTTAAATTTAACTTGTGAAAAATCCCTGTAAGAGATAAAGGAAGTGCATGTTCTCATCTTAGCAATGCAATGAGACACAAGTATTAAGGGGCCATTAAATGAGTTAGGGACTGGCTTAAAAACTGCACAAGCTAATGAACAAAGTCACTTGATATATTAAAAGGTAGTGGGCAATATTTTTAGTCAATTAATTCAATTCAGTTTATTTATATAGCGCCAAGTCACAACAGTAGTTGTCTCAGGGCACTGTACAAAAACATTCATAAATAAAAAGTCAATTAGTAAAGTTATCCATCTAAGGAAGCCATCAGATTGTGTTGAATATTCACTTCATCGCAGTCTCCCACCCTGAGCAAGCACAATGGCAACAGTGGAAAGGAAAAAACTCTCTCGTAACAGGAAGAACCCTCTAGCAGAACCAGACTCAGGACGAGCAGCAAAAACAAATCTCGTCTAAATTGTCAGAATAATTTCAAGGTTGATTAACCCAGACTAAAAGCAAAACAAAACGCACTATAAGAGGTAGATGGAGGTCACAATATTAAAATAATCACAGTAATTCATACAAAGTCCTAATTCACAGATTAACTTTCTTTTCAAATAAAAGTGATCAAGGATGAGTCACAGTTGCTTATAGATTGTACAGTTTTGCTGTTTAAACGTTACCTTACATTAAATATGACCAATTTGCAGTGACTTTTATAAAGAAATACTAAAAGTACAGATTTAAATGGAGGCAATAAAAAGTAGAGCATCAATATGAAATGCCACCGACCGTCATTAATCGTAATTTTAACTGAACAGAGAACAGCAGGTGATGTATTAAAAGACAAATACATAAATAAAGTAAAATCCCTGTGTTGTTTTTAACAATTTGGCGCAGTTTAAAAGTATTATTACCGAGAGCAGGTAGCGAAAGTTCATTATTTAACAGTCCACATCAAGGTCAACAAAGTGCTTATCGACTCGGTTTCTTCGCCGAAATACCATTTTTCAGACTCACCTGAGGGTTGTAGGCAGTTGTGGGAGTAGCTCCCGTCAATTTCTGAGTAAAACCGCTTAATTTGTAGTACATTTTCCGGCTGAAGGACAGAGAAAGTTGCTGCTTCCACAACAAATCGACCGGTAAGGACCTTCCGCTCAGCTTCCACCGTCCAAGGAAATTAACGTAGTAGACAGCTGCCCCAAAGATGCCTGACTAAAAATCAAAAACATCTCAGCGGGTTTTCTGCATGGAGCAGAATTAAATATTTAATAAATAAACAAATAAATAAACAAACAAATAATAAATAAATAAAGTAAAATTATCTTTAGCTACTATGAGATTATATTTAAAGGTCAACTAGTTAGAATTAGCAAACACTTTCTATAAACATAGTTCAACCTTGGAAGAAAGACACACACACACTTTATATGACCTGACATTTGAGTGCTTGATAGGAATTATAAAAAGGTATAAAATATTAAATCCAACACTACACACAACAAATGAACCCAGAACAATAATAAAATACCATTGTTTTTTTTCTTTTAAAATTAATGAATTTAAATGAACTTCATTCATTGAACTGAATGGAGGAAAAAAAATTTAAAAAATGTAAACACCAGCAGTTACAAAAATACAAAGCAACAACATAAAGGAGCCAGTGGTATTGAACATTTGTACATAAATGTTACATAGAACAATAAGAACAATAACAAAATTGAAAATAATAAAACATTTCAAGTCAAAATAAAACCAGGAACTTCAAAATGAGAATAAATTGTAATTCTTTTGTTCTTTCTGGTTATTGGAGAAATAAATTGAGTTCATATACCATCTAAGTTCAAGGAAGCCGACAACATTTGTATTATTATTATTATTATTATTTATTTATTTTAAAAAATACATTTGCATCATGAAATTTGGCCTGGAAAATTAGCAACTAAGCAATTAATTTTGATACTTTGATGGCACCCAAACAGAACATGTTTCCACAGTGACTAAAAGTTGGGAGATATTTTTGAGTCAACTTAATTTTGAAAATGTTGCAAAAACACTTTGGAATTCGGACACAGTCAGAACATATGCGTGACAGATTCTGGCGAGAGATAACAGAAAGTTTGTATCTATCTCATATTAAAAAATTTAAGTTATAGTCTTTAAAAAAAATGCCATTGTGAACAACAGAATATTTAAGCAAACTGAAGCTACTCCTATGAAACCTACAGGAATAACATATTCTTCTACATTTTACTTCAGGCTACATTTCATTTTTTATAAAGTGTAAAGTTTTTCTTCGGTTAAGCTTATTTTAGTTTTAAACTATGTTTTGCTTATTTGAGCTTTTAAACATAGTTGAGCTCAATTAAGTATTCAGCTACCTTTTGGCTAAGCATTACCTTTTAGCTACTGGTTTATGAAATTTAGCTTTTAGATGCAGTTTTGCTTATTTTAGCATTTAGCTACTGTTACTGCAGTTTTGTAGATTTTAGCTTTAGATTTAGCTACTGTTTTTTCTTAACAGTAGGTTTTTGACAGCGATTGTTTAGCTGATTTTGGCATTTACTGTTTTGCTGATTTTAACGTCTGGCGTGTTTCAGTTTTAACAATTCAAACATGAATTCATTCTTCAACAAATTTCAGCTGTCAGTTCTCAGGGTCGCACTGCGTGTTTTCAGAAAGATTTTTGTGAGTTGGAGGAAAATTGTCTTGTTTTTACAGAAACCACAAAGCTGAGCCCTGCAACCACATCCCAAATATTCATTTTTTTTTTCTTTATCGATAATGTAACATTTGCTCAGTTTTGTTCTTTGACCCGCTCTTAAAACTAGTCAGAGCTGCCTCATCAGGGGACCTGACTCACACTTTCAAAGCTTCCTCCTCAGATAACGTGAAAGCAGCTAAGATCAAAAAGCTAACTGCCTTACACGAAGCGTGTTTGAAAAGTTTGAACCTGGAGGCAGTGTAGCTCAAATGTTGGTTCAGTCATTTTGCTGTTTCATACAATTCTCACCCCACAGAGGAATGCAAGAAACACTCTGACCAGTGGGCTCAGCTCTTTTTCTTAATATGATTCATGTACATGTAGCAGAAATTATTATGTTTTTGTTTGTTTTACTCTACAGTTCCATTATAACTTAAAAATTACGATTCTGATCGAAATAATGTTTTATACAGTGATTAAGTCTTGTGGTTGCACAATTTGATGCTAGTTAGTGCACACAGCCGAAAGAGCCTTTGTCTATGTGGGTTTTTGTTTACAGTTAACAAAATGTCTCATGAACCAGAAGACAAGTTTTCATTAAAGTTTTAGATAAGCTTTAGATGTTCACCTAGAGCTGACCTTTTACATTCAATCCAAATGAAGATACTGGCATTGCAAAGTTTGATCAACTTTAACCAAAACTAAATATTCATTAAATGAGTCAGTTTTGCAGATATTGAGCTAAAATTTGTGGCTAAATCATCTTCATCACATGAGCTGAGCGCTCACATCTTGTGAGCTCTCAATATTGAATGAGGTTGTTTAAAACAGTCGTTCTCAAATTGGGGTATTTGCATTCCGGCATTGATCGGTTTACAAATTAAGCTCTGTTACTTGATATGACTACTGCTGTTATGAATCTGCTCAGTTTTAAGTAAAGAGTTTTCTGTAATGATTTGAAGAAGTGGCAATACTTTTATGATCATAACGTTTTAAAGTGGTTTTTGACGCTGTCCATTTTCTCAAAACTACAATTTTTGGAAGTTGGAATTAAAAATTGTGTTAATTAAGTGTGTCTTGAATTAAAAATACCCCATGTATAAAAGTATAAAAATTTTATTAAAAACATTTCTTAAGTTTTTATGCTACACAAATATTTCCAATGCATTAAAGAGACAAACTGGAAAAAAATATTTAATAAACATGAGGGTTATGATGAGACGGTCCTGGAAACTTTTTCGCCCCTGAACCCAAAAAGTTTGAGAAGCCCTGCTTTAAAAGATTAGACCAAAACAACTTTAACTTTGTCCCCTTTCAACATAAGATGATTATATAGTAGTTTCAAATAATTATATTTGATAATACTGTATAGTTTATAAAAATAAAGTAATATAGGCAATATATAAAAAAAGTTTTTAATTAAATACCATTTTATTTTCACTTGTTATTCTCAATTTGTATGCATCCATTATGACTGTCCACTGTTGTCATCACTCTTTGTTAAAACCAGGTCTCTCTTGTAAATGAGTCCCCAAGGCTCAATGGGATTAACCTGTATAAATAAAGGTTCAATGAAAGAAAAAAAAAGTACTCAGTGGAGTCTTATATCTAAATTTTACCTTTTGCATTATATAATAAATTGTAAAAGAAAAAAAGGCACTTAGACGCAACAACTTTGCACATTATTTTTATTATAAAAGCTCAAGCACTGATCACATTAATTACAACTACTGATGAAAAATGTTTGAAGGCTCGAATCAGAAAAATGCTCATGCCTATAAACAATGCTACATGATTTGTGTATTAAAAGTCGGCTAATAAAATATTGAGTTTAAGTTTAGGACTTAGCTTAAAAAGCACACCAAGAACAACAACACGAAGACTATTCAGGTGTCCATAATAATACACAATAAACTTATACAGCGCTGTAAAGACATCAGCGGAGATCAAGAACAAGCAAGCGTGTTTAGTTTTGATATGTATGTGTGTAGAAAGAGAATGGTTGATGCAACAGGAGGAAGAGAAGCGGAGATGTAGAGAAAGACTGTTGTGTGGGAGAGGTGTTGACTTGTTTGTTTGGATCATGTGCCTCTTCAACAAACTGAACCATCTTGGCCAAAAACTTGGCAAACATGTGTAAGTTAATGTCAGAGCCATCATAGTGACAACTTCGGCTGCTCACTTTCTTTAAAAAAAGAAAAAGAAATTCTAACTTAGCTCATGATGTGCTATTCAACGTACTCCCAGGACAAAAGTGTTGTGTGCCAGCCAGGAGGTGTGCGTGGATGCAGCCTATTTGTGTGCACAGAAATCAACCACCATTATGATTGGCATGTTGGAGGATGCGGTTGCCAAGGAGACAGAGAAACACAAAATGCCTTACATTCACAGAAACATCTTTTCATTCTTTGTGCTCAAGCTTTGTCAATACTCTGTCTTTTTTTTTTTTTTTTGTGGAGTAAAACGTTTTTATCCTCCGTTTTGCGCTCCATCTGCTCCGTGTTTATTGTCTGACACTTCGTACTCCCTCCTGACCCCCGCCCATATTTCATTATTCTTGGCTTATAAGCTCTTCCAAATGAGTCCTTTGTGTAACCTCTCTCTATATCTCTTCTTTGAGCGCACTTGTTGGCTCCTTCTCCTTATTTCACACTGGTTTAACAGAATGCATCTAGGTCACACATCAGTCTTGTGTAACTTGTTCCATCTGGGTGCAAATCTCCAAAACGTTGAGCGGCTGACAGCCAGACAAACAAACACGCACACGTCTCGGTTGATGCAGCCATCTCTGCCTGAGTTGTAACCATGGGAATACAGTGTAAACAGCAACTGCTGACAAAATGGGACTACCTGCGTCTCTATAATAATTAATTAATTAGTAACTCTTGCTGATTAAATATAATGATTAGAGATCAAAAGGCAGAAACTATAAGAGGACAAAAGGAAAGAAGACAACTCTAATAGTTATTGCCCACCTATGAGGCAGAGTGATAATGTTTTTGCCTGTCTGTGTCAAGCCCATTCAAGATGGCTGCCATAGCAAAGAAAATGTAGCAAAAACTAAAAAAAAAAACCTAAAACTCTCGCAGTTTAACAGAATATGGGCTAAAAAATAAGTGGCACGTGTTTAAAACTTTGGCATAGTTCTACTTGTTAGCAAAATATATTATGACCTAATGGATGGATTTTTTTTTTTTTTAATTTGCAGAAAATAATGATTAACTGTATGTTGCATGAAAGGTGGCGGGTGATAAGCATTCCTTTAAGGAATGCTATATGTTTTTAATTTTACAATGGGAGCAGCATGTGGTTTGTTGTGTTTCAGATTCAGTGCGTCTTCACTGTAGCATCTCTGCAGAAAGGTTGCGTGCATATCTGGCAGAGCGGAGTTTGAGTTCATGGTAGCACTGAACAAAACTGTGGTAGATGAACGTGATGGGTAGCGCCAGAAGAACGATCCCACTCACGACGCACATCCCCCCGAGCACACGTCCCCCAATCGTCACGGGGTACACGTCCCCGTAACCGACTGTAGTCATGGAGATGATGACCCACCAGGCGGCGGCTGGGATGCTGGCATAATCGCTGTTTGGTGAATCTATGTCCAAGCCATGCTCCAGAAGCTGGGCCAGAGCGCTGTAGATCGCCATGGCAACGCAGACAAACACCATGAGCATGACCATCTCCCGGTAGCAGCGCCTGAGCGTCAGCCCCAGTGTCTGCAGGCCCAGGAAGTGTCTGGCCAGCTTCATGAGCCAGAACACTCTCATCATCCTCAGAACTCGCAGTATCACTCCAGCGACCCCGAGCCCGGCCCCAGGCATCCCTGCACGGGCCATTGCCATGGTGACATAGTAGGGGGTAATAGCAATCACATCAATGATGTTTAGTGGATGGCGGATGAAGTCCCACTTGTCTCTGGCCACCAGAAAGCGCACTATGCACTCTGCTGTGAACCAGCCGATGCACACGGCCTCCACAATCCTACGAGAAGAAAGGAGGGGAGAAAATGAGTTGAACAGTAAACAGGAAATAGCAAAGGAGCAACAGGGAGATACCAGACTGTATGATGTGAGATACTGGTTGACAGTTCATCAGCGTGAGGAGGAAAAGAAGCGAAGCGAAGAGGATCAAAATGATTGGAAACGAGGTTCGATAAAATTCAGCATTTACACATGGAGAACAGTCACATGGGACAAACTGCACAAAAGGAGGGAATCATAACCTTTAAAGAGAGGTTGTTTCAAAAGCAGCCACATAATTACCCTTTTAATTAACACAGCAAAGGCAGTCGAACTGAATTAGAAGGAGGTGGTGCTATTTCACATAAAGGGATCGAAGCAAGCACATACCACAGTGCCAAGAGTGTAACTATAACCACAATTAAACCAAACCAAATTATAGCAGCTGAGTGAAACTGCATCATCTACTGACACGAAACTGAATCATTTCAGGCCCAAGCACATTTAGTTGATTACTTAACCCCTGGAGCTTCTCCAGAACTCAAAACTGTGTCCAGCCTGAGAGAACATAACCTAACCTTATATAGAAAATGGCCTCCTCTGGACTTCCTTGGGAGGACAGACTGCAGTAAAAGAACAATGCAGAAAAAAAAAAGAGAAACAGATTTTCACCTTTGGTCCACAAACTAAGGTTAAAACAACACAAACCTTGACTTAGACATGATGAGATGGATAATTATTTCTTGTTTGTTGACAGTTACAGTCCTTCATAATCAAGTCAACTTTTTACCCTCTTAAATATTATGAAGCTGGGATGTGTTTGTATTTCTTGTAACCTGCTCTGTTTAAAAAGGGATGACGTAAAAGAAGCCATCCTCAACAATTAACACTTTATGTTTAGATAGTATTGATTGACTATTGATTCGCCGCTTTGGGAGCTTGTAAAACAACCATGTGAGGATCCCAGTGATTAATGCGCTGCCTGGAACTTGTCAATGTGCATAATGACCTCAGAGACGTCAATTTATCAAACACAAGGACAAATTCACTGCACAAACAAATTATACACTTACAGCACATTGAAGCAAAGCTTCATTTATCACGATTCAGTTAAAAACGATTGCCTAATATATTTCTGCAAAGAAATGGTCTGTTGTGCACATGTGCTCAAAATATTTCTACCTTTGAAGAGACCATCCTATATAATTCACACTGCATGTTTGAGCTTAATTAGTGCCTTCAGGCTTTTCATCAGTCAAACTGGGTTGTTGTGTGAACATCACTGAACATGGAGCAGAAAAGGCAAAAGCAAGTTTTCTGAGGAGTTCAGAAAGATTATAGATATCACTGATAAAAGTAAAGGCTATATTCTATGGGCGAAGGACCAGAAGTCTTCATTGCCGATTGAAACACGGAATACACCCAAATAAATCACTTAAATGCTCACACACAAACACACACACACACACAAATGTCAGACTAAATTTCACCAAAAGGCGTGTTGACAAGCATCCCAAATATCTGGGACTGATGAGACAAAACTGAAGCTTTTTTGGCCAATCGAAGCTATTATTATTATTTTTGTATTATTATTGCTGTTATTGTTTTAAGTTTAGTGGAAAAGCATCAATACATTTTGTGGCATATCATCCGTAATACCTAAATACCGCGTGTTCCAGATAAGTTTGCATTGCTAATTTTTGATAGTGAACCATAAAAGTGGAAAAATACTTGAATTCTTCAACTTTTATGACCTTTTGCGCATTAAGTCTGTTGCCTTGCACGCAGTTTATTCTCTTAAGTCTTGGGGAGAATAGTATTTATTCGGAAAATGTTTGCTTAGAAAGAATCCTGTGGAGCTCGCGCACTTTTACGCACAACCTCGTCTTTTTTTTTTTTTAGGACATCCTCGCACTTTGCGCCTCACAGAGCATTTTAATAAAAGAGGGGGCAGTTTGATCCAGAGCTTACCTGTGCTCCTCCACAGTCGTCCTCTTAGCTGTATCCCAATCCGGAAGTGTGCTTGCGCACAACATTATCATGGAAATTATCACAAAAATCACGGACACTGAAGCCAAAATCTGCGCTGCGAGGGAAGAGTTTGGCTCCTCAAATGTTTTGCGCACCTTCTCGAGCCATTTTGCGCGGCCCGTGAGCGCAGTGCGTGGCACCGTTTCGTCCGGGCTCTGGGGCTCATCCCCTGACAGAATGATGTCCCCCACCTCAGACAGAGTGTCCAGTCCGATGTCGGACATCCTGTCGTCCAGGCGCTTCTGGCAACAGGAGTCCAGGTGCGCGCTCTCCAGCCCCCAGTAGAGCATCTCGGTGTAGAAGGACAGCTCGCACACTCCGGGAACGAACCGTAGTTTCCCGGAGCGCACGTACAACATGATGAACACAAAAGCCTGCGCGTGGCGGTCGAAGAAAAACTCATTCCGGTCCCGGTCGTAGTCGTCGCACAGTTCCAGCACCTCTTTCTCGGATGCGCAAGCATGTAAGCGGCTGACGCGCCGGAGAGGGAAATCCCTGATCACCTCACGGGTGAAGGCGTAACGGGTTCCTCCTACATTCAGCACACAGATGCTCTTCCCGAACTTCATCTTCACAGACTGTACCCGACTAGGACTCCTCTTCACGGTCCATCCCGCCTTCCATTCCAGGAGTTTGGGCAGTTTTTGTCCCCTGCCCGTGGGGCGTGGTTCGCCTTCAGTGGATCCTGGATAAGAAACTATTCCCTGTACGTCTCACTCTCTGCTCCATCTTCTGCCTCTGTTGCCTGTATGAAAGACTCTCCACCCCAGCCAGGGCGAGCCAGTCCCATCTGTGATGTCACATGCGCACGCAGTGAAATGGAGAAACCCCTCCAGTAAACATTACTGAGCAATATTTTTATGCTGTATTCCCAAAGAGGGATTTATAAATTACACACACACACACAAAAAAACAAAAACGTTTGAGTAAAAATAAACAAATAAACAAACAGTTTTTCATAGATTATTAGAATCACAAAATTAAAAATAACTATCGAACAAAACAATAAACCTTTTTCATCAACAGTTGCTTTAAAGCCTATATGACTTCTGTCCTTTTATGAACTTTAAAAAGTCTAAAAAAAAAAAATCCTTGTAAACCAGCTAAATAAGTTCATGTTTGTAAACTTGGTTTATTTGGACAACATGGTGCACAAATTGCTCAAAAAAGGCACTAATTGTAATATTATAGGCAATTTGTTCCAAGCAAATATTTCACAATTCAATTCCCAATTTTAGATTCTCTTTGGATTCTTTAAAATGCAGAATAGAAATTGAAATCTTACTTCAAAAGGTCTCAACATCAAACTCCATCTTATATTAAAGATCTTATTGCTCTATTTTCTCAACTTGACGCAGCTCACTCTCAGGCTGCAGGTTTACTTGTGGTTCCTAGAGTTTAGAATGTGAGGCAGAGCCTTCATTTATCAGGCTCACGTGGAACCATCTTTCAGTTTCTGTCCATGAGGCTGATACATTATATACTTTTAAGAGCTTACGGTTTTAATTTAGGATTGGGTTTCCTAAGCAATCCCTTAGTTGTGCTGCTATAGGCTTAGGCTGCTGGAAGACAAATTCCCTGCATTTCCTCTCTCTGCTGCTGTCTTTACTCTCTTTACTCTGCGGTCATTGCTGCCATTAAACTGTTTTCCTTGTTTATCTTCACGCGCTCCAACCATTTTGTGTTTGTCTGTTTCTCCTTCCTGTCCTCTCAAACCCAAGCCAGTCGAGGCAGATGACCGCCCAGCCCAAACATGGTTTTGGTTTCTTAACGGAGTCATTTGTTACTGTTGCCCTACTATAGTGAAGGATTGAGACAAAGTAAAGGTTTATAGCATAGCATCCTTATAGCTGACATTTAATTGACATTTCATATACTGTTTGTGGGTGTCTTGTGAAAGAATTGACTGTAACTGTATTTAAATCTAGATCTGAGCTAAATCCTAAAGTAAATTATTAGAATATCCTGATGCATGCTCAATAATCCAGGTATTTTTTTTTTGTTGTTTTGCTTTTTTTTTTTTTTTTTTTAATGTCCAGAGGACCAGACTTAACTTTTTAGATAAATTATTAGAACATAACAAATGATAAAGCTTTTATTCCCCCAAAAAACACTGAAATTAAAGAAACAGGAACAAGTTTTCCTGTCACTTTATAGCAAAACTATTATTTATCTAACATTTAACATTTTAGAAATCTATGTCAAACTGAGATATCATTTGTACTTCAGGTCTAAGACGTATGGATGCGCCTCCAGATGGAGGTGCCCAAATGATTTGTTAAAATATTACAAAAATTAAATAAATAAAATAAAACAGATTTTATAAGTGATGCATGTTTAAATGCCAATAATATTTTAATTTTAATGAATTTTGTAAAATGTATCGTTTATTTGTGCACAGAATTTTATTACTCTTAAAAAAAAAGCGTAAAGGCTTGAGCAAATTAGCATAAGGTTATCAGTGCAATTTCATAGTTTGTCCAAGCCATACATAATTTCATAAGCATGCATTGGTTGTGCCTTTTACTGCACATGTTTGGTATTATAGATTTTTAGATTCATACAAATTCATGTGCGCTCAGCACCCCCAACTGAAACATGTTTCTATACAAACATATTATTCCAAGTCTTTAGTGGACATCAATCCAACTTTCCCTTCATACAGTTTGACCAGGTCCACTTAATAAAAATCAAATCAAATTTAAAATTTGATTTAAAAAATCCTATTAATTTTTATTAATATTGTAAGGTAAACATTGAGGCTTTTGATTGTTGTTATTAGAAATAAACATAAGAAAAGGAGATTCTACTACTGCAATGTTACATACATTGCTCAAAAAACAAGTAACTTTGTGTTTGGTTGAATATTTCTCTGTTGTTACAATGCTTATTAGCAATTATAGTTTGAAAGCCTGTTTATTTACCCTTAAATGGTGCCACGTTTTTTAGAAAAGTACAAGTTTGGGGCTGAATAGCCTCCAAGAAGACAATGTTTACTTCCACATAGACAACCTCCAGAATTTAGGAGTGGAGAGGATGGAAAGGCTGCAGTGCTGACCTCAACCCCATCAGCTTGGACATACAGTAAATTCCAGCACAACCACAGGCTGACCTGAAACATTCATTCATTCATTCAACCTTTACAGGCTAGTCTTATTGTGCCACGAGGACTCCTGTACAAGAGAGACCTGTTCCGGATAGAACATATAAAGTCCATACAACAATAACAATTAATAATAACAGGAAACTACAGTTAAAATGCAGTTAAAATAAATGTAGTATTATAAAACAATAAATCAGGGTGCCATAAAACAGGGTAAAATACTAGAAATTTGCTTTGATCTTTCTATTGACAAATATTGACAAATTCTGGTTGAAGAAATTGATGCTATATCATGCAGCAGTATGTGACCAAATTGGTGAGCAGAAGAGGAAGTGGCATGCTGTTGTGGCTGTGTATGGTTCTTCTGCATGCCACTGAGGCTTGTGAATGGGTATTATGCCAGTATTTTCTGTTTCATTATTCTTCAATCATCCAATCCAGTAAACAATACCAAACACGTGTCAATATCAGAATAAAATAGCTGGTATTGAGAAGATTTGGTAAATTTTTATGGGAACAAACCGCATTCTGAGCTGCTGCTCAACACAAAAATACATTTTCCCCTAACAAATGTGGCACCATTTAAGGTTTATTGTCATGTTACAACAATGAAAAAATGGATCAAAAACGAATTTGTTTTCTTTTTGTAAGTGATTTCATAATCTGAGTAAAATGTGATGACCTGCTCACCTGTAGTGTGGCTATGGTTGTGGTTGTGTTTGCGCATGCGCAGCCGCCCTCTTCTGGTTTTTCGTCTTCTTTTGGCTGCTCCGAGTTCACCGTATTGTTTGAGGGTGCCGTGAATCGTCGGAGGAGGGGGGGCGGGGGGCTGAATTGCCAAATTTCTCCCGATAGTGTTCACATCCGGAGTCTCGACGATCGTCATTTAAAGCCCCCCTGTATGTTTTAGGACACAGATGTGTACAATTTTTATTATTTATTTTATTTTTTCTTAGCTTATGCTTCACACTCTGGGAGGGCAGAAATGGCGGCTAACATGTACCGGGTCGGAGGTATGTATGTCAATGTGGATCCCTTTTTTTTTATTCAAATAGGAACCGCTTCAGGTTTGCACCTCCAGGATGTTTAATGATTTCATTTCAATAAGCGTGCATGTAGTAGAAATATCCGGCTCTGCTGTACTAATGTGTGTGAGTTAGTTTTGGGAGTAGGAAGGTGAGTATTTTCTGAATATTTGGGATTCAAAATGGGTCAGGCCTCGCGTCTGTCGTGGCCACAGCAGCAGCTAGCCGCCAGCTTGCTAAGCGACTAGCTTAAAATGTAAACATTTTTAGCTGTCGGCACTCTTTACTCCTCCAGTGCTGCTATGTAAATACACACGGGGGATATGGAGGAGTGATAAACCGAGGCACCAGACGACTAAACGTACGTTTATATGGTTGTTAAAATCTTATCACGGTCAGTCTGAGGCTGTCTTTGTATTTGCCTCTTCTGGCATGCAGCCATTAGTGCGAGTTCTTATTTAGCTAACGCTAGCACCAGCAGTGGCTCCATTGATTACCATTATCTCTTTTTCGGCACTCGTTTATTATTCGAGCAATTTATGGGATCATCTTGGTAGGATTTAAAACCTTACTTTTACTACGCTGTATACATACATTAACTTAAAGTGATATTAGCGAAATTGGCTGCTGACTGGCCGGCTAGCTCGTCAGCTGTCTGCTGGAATTTAACATTAAATTGTCTTCATGACGTCGTTTTGAGAACCTTGCTTCTTTAACCATGTCAAGCCGATTTATCATTTAGTAGTAAGACAAGATCACTAAAATATACACATATTTTGTGTGTATTCAATACAAGTTTGAATAATCTTAGAATTAACATTAGAGATGTCCAGCATCCATAATATTATTACTACTTAAAAGGCCATTTCAGACATCTGCAGTAATAATTGTAACAATGTAATTACAGATATCTGTGTCATGTTATGAATATCCAACACTTGTAGTTTTAACACAAAGCAGGTTTAATTCAAGGATTCATGGTTCTTTATTTGTCATTCGCACCCCATGTGGTACATGTGGTGGAACGAAATTGTGTACACAGGGTCCCAGTTACATCCAACAATAAAATGTAAAAGAAAAACACAATGGATGTTTCTCATGGTAACAGTTCTATTTCAAATATTAAAATGTACTTGCAAACACCTGACAATAAAATATAGATGGGAAAAGTTATGTCATTTGTCGTAGAAAGAATTACATTGTAAGTAGGGGTGTATATTATATTGAAATTGTATTGCTATTGCAATATCAGTATTGCAAAGGACAGCTTGGACTTCAATAAATATATGTATTTTGTTATATTTCAAGTGCATTTGTGTTCTGAATGCCCAGGGATCTGCAACCTGCGGCTCTGGAGCCACATGTGGCTCTTTGGTCCCTCTGCAGCAGCTCTTTCAAGCTTTGACCAAAACTGACATAAAACTGAATTTTATTGGTTGTTATAACAACAACTAAAAGGGCTAGTTTTAGCAGTTTTCCCTGTAATTTATTTAGCAAATATATGAATAAACATTACAAGAAGTAAAACATACTCACTTTCACTTTATGCTTTATTTCTTCAAAGTAGGATACGTACCGGTAATTTTTCTACAATTAAAAAAAAAAATCACATAAGAACGCATAGTTTATTGTTTTAGTTTTTAGAAACCGAGCAAAAACTATATAATTTTTTTCCTTCTTTGCAAGAATCATATATTTTATTTTGTCATAGAGTGTAAATATCAATAAATGTTAAAAATCATTAGATATTTTAGTTTTATAAATCACCCCTACTGTCCAGAAAAGCACCCTCTGACAAACTTAAAGTGGTCCGTGGGCCACCAGTTGAGAATCCCAATTGTAGCAGGTATTGTGGCTCCGGACACGTTTAATTTAGTGATCAAAGGGGCAGAAATGGCTCTTTTGATCATAAAGGTTGTAGACCCATGTGCATGCCAATACAACATACTGTCCTTTCAGTGGCTTTGATGCCCACAACTGAATTAGATTATAGTGATAATCACACAGCAAGTTTTTCCTAATATCTAAAATGTGTGAAATGTGATTGCTAATAGTAAGAAAGCTTTTCTGGATTCCAGAAACCTTGGTTTTGATGAGGAAGATTTGAATTATGGATATCTGCAACACCTATTCAATACTGCCAATAGCTTTTAAAAACAATTTCATATGACTTACGCTTAGTTAAACACAGGGCTGCATGGTGTTAGAAAACATATAATTGCGACATTATTGTTTAACATTGCAGTATCGGTTACGTTAAACCCATATTTTTCTCACTATTCTTTTTTTTTATAGTCATCACCACTTCCTTAGTTTTTCTTAAGCTATTAGCTTTAGTATGCAGGCTTCTTTGAATCAGCTGTAGGAATTTAGAATAGTTGGGATAGTATTGATTGCCAAGTATGTTCTTGGCATCTGGCTTGTCTGCAGTTTATTGCAATACTTTGCAATATTGGTTTTGCGATGGCGAGACAGTTTTGATAATATTTTGCAACCCTTGTATAGATGCTTCACATGCAGCATGTCCTATCTTCACCCTTGTAATTTACACCCGGTGATATGCTGCACTTTGTCGTTGGCACACTGCAAGGTGTTTTACTTTGCTGTCTGTGAGGTCACCCTTTATTTCTGCTGCCTTTGAATATTTTGTGTAAACTCCAGCTCTTTAAAAGCTACATTCAAGTTTTCCTCTTGTCAGAATAATATACTGTATTTTGACTTAAAACAGTTAATTTATTTCTATTAATACTGCAAATTAAAGAGAGACGGCAAATATTTTTTTAACAATAATGCAAGCTTGGAGTAGAGTTTATTTGAAACTAATAGTTTTTTGTTGGTTTTAAATAAATGCAACTCAATGTGTCTTTGTCTGACATTTTTGCATAATAAACTCTGTTCCAGGTTGTTTGTTGTGTTAGCATATTATTCAATATTTCAGACTGCTGAAATACGGTATTGACTGAGCTAAAGTTTTGCAGAGATACTGCACACCTTGCACAGATAAGAATAGTCTGCTGCAAATTTGAGGATTTTGACTTTCTATATCCAAACCTAAACTTGTTCATCTAACTTAACCAAAACAGTGTAGCAACAGTCTTACTGTTTAAGGATGATATAATAAACTCATGTGAATTTGCCTAAATCTTTACAACCGGGAATATGTAATATTTATATCAGCACCTATGCCCTTCGGCTACACTTTATTTGTGATGACGTAAAAATCACAGATTTGTCTTTCCTTACTTTTAACAAATAAACCTGTTTCTTTTCCATGATGAGACACTGAGCTTGTCTTCAAATATAATTTTGACTTTTTCACACAGATTTATTCTGCTACAGTGATGTGGTAGTGTCTCATATGGTGTATTTCTTGTTGCAGATTATGTTTTCTTTGAAAACTCCTCAAGTAACCCATACCTGATCCGTCGAATAGAAGAACTCAACAAGGTACTGCTTTGTTTTTGTGTCATTTCTGTGCATGTTTTTACTTGAGGGTAAATAACTTGGATTCCTGCCCCCAGCCCCCCACTCAGTGCCCCTGTGTGCATGCATTTTGTGACTTTAAGTGGTTCTTGCATCACTGAAATAGACAGGTGTTCCTTTGTCTTAACTGTCATTTCTATTGCAGGACACACCTGTGTGGGTGTGCACACAAGTTGGCATGGTGATGACTCGAATGAGCTTTTTAAAAACTCACATGAACTTACATTTTTTCTGCGTTGCACAGTTCCCTGTTTTACCTTAAGATACTAAGGTGCAGACAAAAAAACAGTCAGTAATACTAAAAAACTGTTTTTGTATTGTCTCAATATAATTGCCATGATGCTGAGACAAATGTTGCTCATTATTTGATAAGCTGGTGTCAAATGTAACCTGTTTGGTCTTAAAAGCAATAATTTAAAGATATTAAATAAATGACTTGAAGTAAATAAGCAACAACAAAGAAATGGTATTCATGTTTTTTTTGCCATTTTTGTTTGTCAGATAGCGAGGGGTCAGTACTGTGATGTCTAAGGCTGGGTATCGTTCAAAAATTTTCTATACCAGTACCTTCACTTCAATATCTTTTCCTGAACTGTACTTTTTTGGTACCAATTTTATAATTAACGTAAACTCTAACAAGAAGAAAATTATGTTACACATTACAGTACAAATCTTGAGTTTTATTTTTTTAACTTTGGTATTTTTCCATTCCAAGCAGTTTTCTTACATAAAAAACAAACAAATAATTTCCAGGTCAAAAGAGCAGTTTCAAACCAGTGACACGTCAGTGTCTAATGCTCACTGCTACACACTGAGGACCTTTTCACTTAACAGTTTTTCTTCAGAAAAATCAACATGTCTACTTTCTCTGGACACAAACAAGCCCACTCCTGGCTGATGGTGTTTCCAGCTGCGGAAAATGTTCGCTCTGAGGTTGTGGATGATGCTTGTTGCACACACAGATACCTGGTTGTCAAGTTTGACAGCACCGACATATTGTCCCTCACATTCCACCAGCAGGTCACTGGATTCACTGAGATTAGGGTTGATGGCAGACTTCTGCACCTCTGTGTCTCTGCCTGAATCTTCTCTGTGGTTCTCTGGGGTTTAGAACCCTTATCATCTCCCTAATTGACATTAGAACACAAAACATAAACAATAACATGGTTGTGTTATTATTGCTCAAAAACCATTATCTAGGCTGAGAGATAAAGGCTTAACTGGTCAACAATATCCTTTATAGCTTGCTTACCTCCACAATGCAGCCTCCACTGTAGAAAAACGCAGCAACTTTTAACAACAAAGTTTGTGATTGTCCTGTGGCCCCCATCTCGCATTTCTTTTGTCTGTCCTCCTCACATCAGGATCAGAGGCTCCTGTGAGGAGAACATTAACATAAACAGTGAACATTAGGTGAACTGTTTAACCAGCTGACCTGATGGATGAGCACATTTTTACAAGCTAAGCTTTATCTGTTACTGTCATTCTTTAGTTAGCTTTTGATTTAGCTAGCTTCATAGATAGCCATAAAATAAAACTGCACACTAATATCTTAAAGTTAGTGTTACATGGATCCTAGTTTAACTCACTGCGATGCACGTATAAGTTTAAGTATTAAGTAACTTTAACCAATGTAAACTAACCAGCTGAAATCCCAGACACAGCTCGTCCTCAGTGCGAAGCGGAGTCCGGTAGTGGATATTTTGAATCAGGCCGTTCAGGCTTTAACACCCACCGGCTGACTTAAATGCTGAGAGGAGGATAGCTGCGGTCCTCTCTCCTTGCAGTCAAACACGGAGCAACTTTACGCTCTTAGCCCCACGTGAACTCCGTTTGTGGGCGTAACCACGTTTGTGTTTTTCCTGGTTTTTGCTGCATACTGCAAGTTGCTGCACTGGTATTGGCTGTAATGTTACATGTGGTTGAAACCATGTGTAATATTACAGCCAATCACCAAAACTTGACACCAAAAGACGAGGCATATTTTGATACAGTACATATACCGACCGAAGCAGTTCAGTCGGTACCATAAAAGAACCGAAGTTCGGTACTCAGCCTTAGTGACGTGACATCTGGTGATGTTGCATTGCTATACTTTTTCTTTTATGGGTTTTGTCTTGTCAACAAATATGGTCTCTCCTGCAGTTTGTATTAAAACAAAAACTGCAAGAAGTCCCAATGTGCAGTCAGATATGCTTCCCGATCTACTCACTCTACACGAGTCATGGCTTTTAATACAGGCTCAGTATTTGAGCGCTAATTATACGATGTGACAAGACATCAATCATCTTTTCAAAATTCCTTGTCACTGTCATGGTCAACTTGTCACAGAAACATATTTTGATGGGCTCACAAAGGAGCCAGTTCTCTGGGGAAATCTTAGGGACTTGTTGCCACGTCTTCGACTAAAGGTGGATCTATTTTTGTTTTCTTTCTTTCAGACCGCCAGTGGGAATGTTGAGGCCAAAGTGGTTTGTTTCTACAGAAGGAGAGATATCTCTCACAGTCTCATCCAACTCGCAGATAAACACGCAAGTGAGTGGTGACACATTTTCTTTTTATCAAACCTTTACCTAACATGGCACCTCAAAATAAGTTATATAATCACTTTCAAGGTAAACTAAGGCCTATTCTAATACAAATTGTGGAAAAATCAGAAAAACTGATGACTGAAAATTTTATTTTCAGAGTTTCTGCTTCAAAAATGTCAATTTTTTTTGTCAGAATATTATTCAACCTATTTGAACATGTCAGAGGAGGTTGTTGTGTCGTTCTATACAAAAAGAAAAGTGCTAAATCAATTTGTAGTTTTTGTTGTTTTTGTTGTTGTGTTTAACAAAGCAATAAGGTTTAAGAGATAAAGCAACAAACTTGTTCTCAGAATTCAGAATCACTGACATTTTGAGTTTTAATTTGATGAATGATGTTAACCAATTTGCAGTTATGACAGTTCATCAATTCTTAATGGATCACTGGAGATTTTTGCAGTCACTGTAAAACAAATGTTTTCAGCTACTTGTAAAATGTATCATAATAATGCTCAATTTCAGTCCAGTGAATATTTCCTGCAGTGTTTCTGCTCTGCACCTTTCTGCATTAAATTATAACTTGCTAGAAAGATGTTTACCTTGTATCAACTGCAGTGGAGCCATTAAGTCTCTGCTGTTTGTGGACATGGTAAATTTAAGCTGAAATAGACGCTTGAATGCAGAGGACAATAAGTCACGACTGCTGCTATTCATATGCTATTTTTCTTGCTTATTACTACAGGAAGAGTTTGTAGTGTGAGCATTACTGTAAAACGAAGCAATACAAAGCTTTACCACAGCAACACCTGACTTGTACTTGTTCCGTTTCAATAAACAAATCTTTAGTTTAGGCCTTTCGCAATAAACAATAAATCATTTAATCGCATGATAAATGAAAAGTATCGACCTCATTTTCATTGATCTGCTTTATCGTTTCTTCGTGTCTCTTTTTCTCCTGAAGACACTGGATGATTAAAGGGTCAACTCCGATGCTCTTCACTGATCCCTCACTTTCTCTTTTCTCTTTAAAATCCATTTTAACGATCCAAAATTGCATTTTTGGATCGTTAAAAGCAGCTAAGCTGAGAAGCTAAGCTACAAGCTAAGCTAACAGGCTGACCTCGGGGAAAACACCTCCGTCTTGTCGAAGCTCCAAAATTCACGGTTGAAACCTGTGCCTTCATCTAAAAAGTTGTTTTTCTCTGGACAAAGAAGCTGAGAACTTGTTTACTGATTTTTTTTTTATTAAAAGCTTTGTGTGAAAAATGCTATGCTAAAGAGCTCAAACCACACCGAGCGTCCGCTATTTTGTGAAGCAAAAAAAAGATGTCTCCTTCCTTTTTGTCACGTCAAGAGGCCTCCCTCCCATTTTTCTTAAAGAGACACGCTTCTTGCTCCCTCACTATTCATCCTTCGTTCAAACAGTCTTATACTGCCATCCGGTGGTTGAAAAAAGGTACTAGACTCAAAACAAATTATTCAACATTGCTTCTTAAATTTGACAATAATTACAAATTATTGTCAAATTTCAACCAATTTTGTCGTTTATCACAATAATTTCTGAGACAATTAATCGCCCAGCACAATTTGTTATCGTGACAGGCCTACTTAAGTTAAACAGCAAAAAGAGCTCTTCTTAAAGCAGTCTTCCAGCTTTATTTGGTGCCACTGAGATCAAAAGCAGAAGAAGCCGCTGTGAGACAGGACAGACCGAAAGACGTGGTTGATTAATGCATTTGATGGAACAGATTGTAAAACAACATTTTTTATGATTGAGCTCTGTAAACATCAGGCAGGCTACAGAGCAAAAGCTTTACCCACCCCATGTGCTTTTGTTCTGATTACAACGCTTTTGCCAGTTTCTCAAGCTGTTAGGAGCCCATTTGCCAGCTGGTCAGAATAAGAGGCAGAAACAACAATAGACTTTATTACTGCCTGCCACACAGTAAACAAAGAATTCACCTGATTTATAGCTTTGATTAGTTCAAGAGAAAAAAAAACAGTCGTAATCAGATTTACAGAAAGATGGAAGAATTTACAATGGTGAAGGTTGAAGGCATGCATTTTCCAACCATTATTCTTCTGATACTAAATTTGTTGCTGTAAATCAAAAAATAAAGCAATATTAAGCAATAACATTTCTTAAACAATGTACTACAAAAAATGAGAATGTTACTTTATTTGACAACAAGGTGGGAGTGGTGGCGCAGAGGTTAAAGGTGGGTCTGTGATTGGAAAATTGCCGGTTCAACTCCCGGTACCAACAACATCAAAATGTGGGTGGGATAGGTGAAGCACCCACACCTGCCTCCACCCTCATTTGCCCCACTCCGGGCCCTTGAGCAAGGCTCTTAATCCCCACCATCTGCTCCCTCGGGTGCCCTAGATAGCAGCTCTCTGCTCCACACAGAGTGCTGTGGTAGCTCGATGGTTTGTGGTTGCGTCGGGAACGGCATCTGGCATAAAAACAATTGCCAAGTCTTTGTGCGACTTAGTTCGCTGAAGAAGGGAGAAGCCGGAAAAAAAACCCTTTATATGACAAAGATAATTTTTGAGGAGAAGTGTAGCATTTATTTTTACATTGGTTTTTAATTAAAACGTCACAAATCTTGGTCAAAATATTTGTTCTGTTTAAGTGATCACAACAATTTGTTCAACTGTTTTGAGCCTTAATTATGTTGGTAAAAGCTATTAATAATTCTCAATTCATTACGATCCCAAAAAAAGGAAAAGGGACTTGTCAGGTCTGTTTTCTTGCAACCATTTTTGCCTTGTGACAGTCTCTCTTTTTTTTTTTTTTTTTGCATGATCAGAGACATTTAGCAACTTGTTAGCTTTGTCCCTCTAACTGATATTTACACTTTAGAAGAAGTCGTATAGATTATTAGTCACACTACACTTGATCTACCTGCTGGTTCACCCATTTTATGTCTCGTAAAGAATGTAGAAAAACAAAGCACTGTGATGCAATTTCTATGCTTGACTCTCTCTCAACCCCACCTCAACAGCTTCGCACACCAAAATTGACATCACAGGACCTGTCTTGCTGGCACTGGAGTGTAATTGTTTCAATTTTTATGCCTCAACGTGCTGCGTGAGAGGCTCATGGTTAAAGAGGAGAAGCATAAGGGTATATTCTGTAATCGGCTAGTTTCAGCTGAACAAAACCCCAGGGGGTACAATGATTGCAAATGTTACAAAAACACTGAGGCATGAAGCAAATAATTTGAAACTATGGGTTATGTTTGCACATAAAGAATTTACTGACCAAATAATTTTTCTTTAGTAATAAGACTATGAGATCCTGAAGAAATTTGGTGCCATTTTCTTGTGAGTATTCTGAATAGCAACATTTCTAATAGTATAGTTGTTGAAGGCAAATTATCATAATTTATAAATACCTGCTCAGTGGTAAAATGGGGCCAATGTTTATTTGCTGCCTGATGTTGTGTTGATTTGGCTTCAGCAAACCAACTAATTCACCATTTATGGATTAGCATGGACCCTGAAATAAAATTTTTAGTTTTAGTCTTAACTATGATGTCAAATCATGTTGATTTTGTCGAATAGTTCCGTTTCTGTCTTGTTTCTAGTTATATGCTTACACTGTCGCTAACATCACTTTGTTATTTTCCTCCTTTCTTATTTGTACTTTTGCAGAGGAGTTGGAGGAGGAGAAGGAGAACCCAACAGAGACAGAGCTAACAGAAAAACAGAAACACCAGCTTCGTCACAGAGAGCTCTTCCTCTCACGACAGTACGAGAGTCTACCTGCGACACATATCAGGTATTAAACGCAAGCTCGTATACAAAGTGCTGCATGCAGTTCACAGTTAGCAGGCAGTGCCAGTGGGTGGGTCACAAGCATGTCCCGTTTCCTTTTGTCAGTGTTTTACATGGTGCGTGCTTCCCTTTCTCCATCTCCATCAGGGGGAAGTGCAGTGTCGCATTATTGAATGAGACTGAAGCTGTTCTTTCATACCTTGACAAAGAGGTAAGCCTGAGGGGGGCAAAAGGACGTCCGTTATTATTTGTTCACTTAGGAGTGCATCACAAAAACCTTGGCCACACTGCGTGCTTTTTTTTTTTTAAATACACAAGCTTTGAAACACATCTTGGTATTTTTAAAATATGTGTTTCATTGTAAATTTCTGATTTTCTTTCTATTCTAGTAGTTCGGTTCTGATTGTTTATCACAATTAATAAAGATTGCGTACAATTAAAAATAGTATTTGATTCAAACAACATCAGAACCAAACATGTTAAACTGTGGCAGTTCTAGTAAGTGATGTTTTTATTTATTTTTCTTTCTTAGGATACTTTCTTCTACTCGCTGGTTTACGATCCGACACAGAAGACTCTGCTGGCCGACAAAGGAGAGATCAGAGTGGGACCTCGCTTTCAGGCAGATGTACCTGAAATGCTGCAAGAAGGTACGTTATACAAGTTACCGTAGATCCAACGACTCTGAACTCAATCTGTTAAACTTTAAAAGCAAAAACGAATATGTTTTGTCATCTTGTTTGAGCTCTTTCAATTCTAGGTTGACAAATTTCAGGCTTTTTATTAACAAGAAATGTTACCAATTATCTTTGGATTGTGAACGTTTTTACTTCCTTCTTTGCAATGCAAAGTCACGCCTGTGCAGTCTGTAAGATGTACGTTCTGCATTTTGTAGGCGAGGCAGACGACAGGGACCAGTCCAAGCTAGAAGAGAAATTGTGGGATCCTGAGTGTCCTCTCACCGACAAACAAATAGATCAATTCCTAGTGGTGGCACGGTAGGTCAACATTACTGCACAAACAGCTCCCTAAGTACGTCCATCACATACAGTGACTGATGGTACACAGTAAATTACAGTTGAAGTAACTTCTTGTTTTGACTCTGTGTCCCATCATGACGTAAAAAATGCATAAGTCAGCTTAACGTTGTGAAACCTGTGGCTACAACATTAGAAAAACTGAGTCATTTTGAAATGAATAAATGCACATTTTACTTCCAGAATTGGCTCAAAAGTATCATTATTTAAATTTAAATTTTTTGAACATCTGTCAACTTATTTCTATAGTGTATTAAAAACAACCGAAGTTGACCAAAGAGCTTTACTGTTTATTCAAACTGGAAGTAAGTAAGTTTTTTTGGGGGTCACCACCGTGAGCAAACTCACATGAAAGATTTGGCAATTCATTTTACGCCAGATGCCATTCCTGACACAACCTGGGCTCAAACCCGCAACCTCAGAATTACAAGACCGTGGCACTGACCACAGAGCTGCTGTTTATTCAAACAACATAATAAATTGCAAAGAATTAAGAACTGATACATTTAAAGAACAAGTAAAAGCTCAAATCAAATGGGGAGCACAAAATGAAAAACATAAGCTCTGTTTGGTTCTCATACTCTGCTCAAGTCAAAAGTCTGGGAAAAAAGACGAGTCTCTGATATTTAGAAGACTCAGTAGTCTCCACTTCGCTTCGTCATTAAAGAGGGCGATTGTTCTAAACATATGGAGCAACCACCACAAATGCTCCAACCACTAAAATATTTTAATTTAGATTTTGGAACATCTAGGAGAAACCGGTTAGTTGACTAAAGTGTTCTTCTCGGTGTGTAGATTTTAAAAAGAGATAGGATCGATATCAATTAGCAAGACTACTAAAAGCTTGAAAAGCACTCAGTTAAATGTTAATAACAAACCAGAAACATGCAGGAAGCCAAGACTCGAGTTATGTATTCATATTCTTTTTACTTGTTCTGGACAATTTGTAAGTGATGTAGAGATGATTTATTTAAACACACTTAGATAGTTACACAATTTAGACAAGTCTTAATTGACATTGTTAAGTGTATTTTTCTCTATATTACAAAAGCTCATTTTTACCTTTTTAAGATTGTTTATTTCTTGAAAAAAAAAAAAAACTGCCTTCCTAATTTCATCTATGTGCTTATGCTATACTCTACTCATATTTATTATAAATTCCCTCTCAGGGCGGTTGGGACGTTTGCCAGAGCGTTGGACTGCAGCAGTTCAGTCAGACAGCCTAGCTTACACATGAGTGCAGCTGCAGCTTCACGAGATATCACGCTGGTGAGTAGGACGCACTTTGTAGCACTCGATCAGGGTTTGAACAACATATTGTAACCCTCTTAACTGGTTGCAGTTCCACGCAATGGACACGCTGCATCGCCATAATTACGATCTGTCCAGTGCTCTGAGCGTGCTGGTCCCAGCGGGTGGTCCAGTGCTCTGCAGGGATGAGATGGAGGAGTGGAGCGCCTCGGAAGCTGCCATGTTTGAAGAGGCTCTAGAGAAATATGGGAAAGACTTCAATGACATCCGACAAGACTTTGTAAGCCGTTTTTTTTACTGCACATTTGATTATTATCAGATAATGTGATGGTCTTATTTAACAAAACACTTGACAGTTTTCTAAAATACATGACGTTTTCTTCCTCCTCCTCAAAGCATTAGTACTATTGTAATTTATTGCAATTTTGCCCCCTACAGTTCAACTATTCTGTACAATAAAGTCAAGATATGGGCGTATACTGGGGCGGCAGGTGTTCATGAATACTTGATAAATGTGTGAATCACTGTGTGCGTTTTCAACTGTGGCCAGAAGTGAGCAAAGTCAGTAGCTCTCAGCCTTTGTGGTCACGATGTCTCACACTCATGAATATACATGAAGGCTTCACACCCAGATGGCAAGAACATGAGATATTAATATCATTAATTTGCTCTCTGTCTCTTTTCCTCTCCACCCTCACTCCACATTTGACTCCTTCTGCTTGTGAAGCTGCCATGGAAGTCTCTGACCAGTATCATAGAGTACTACTATATGTGGAAGACCACAGACAGATATGTTCAACAGGTGAGATTATTGTTGTATTTGAGGAACATTTAATACATGAGAAAATATGTTCAGGTATTTTAATGCTGTTGATAATTTCATTATGTCGACCACTATTGTTTGGCCTAATATTTGCAATTGTAGCACTAAAATTAACTATTTTATATGTGTGCAAGAAAACATAATTTAAAGCACTGTAATGTACTTTATTTTAAAACTTTTGTGGAAGAAAATTGAAAGCAAGGACGCTAAAATAAAGCAAAACTCCTCAGGGAATGTTTCGAATTGCTTAAACCACGTGTGTCCAAAGTGCGGCCCGGGTGCCATTTGTGGCCCTTGGAGTGATTTTGTGCGGCCTACATCTGCAGTTTAAGAAAGGTATCATTTTGGCCAGCAGTATTCAAAGGTCGATGCAGACTTTCTTCTACTTGTTAATCCTTTTTATATAATGTTTAGGTTTAACAGCAAAACGGATGAAAAACAATCTTCTCTAAATGAGCAATATTAAGCAAAATACAAACCTTTGGTTATAATCTTTTTATTGTCACTTCTTGATACAAAGCACCAAAAACTTTTACTGATTTCTACCAGAAAGGAGACTTTTGGATAATGATTCATAAAACTTGACTAAATATTGCAGTTGATAGAATAATCAAGAGGGAAAATGGACATTTTTAAATAAATATAACGTGGTATCATCTGTATACGAGTTGATAGACTTTATCAAACATATGAATCTGTTGCAGCGACTGACAGCTGGGCAATTTTTCAGAGCTTCGATCAGCCAGTCCTTGGTCCAAAGGGCTGATCGACCTCCTTTTTAAAAGGACACTTACTCAAATTTTGCTTTTGTTGCTGAGAACAGACTAAAATGAACTTTCCAAACACAAGAAAACAAACATAGACCCAACAAATCAAATAAATTGGATCCATTTTAATAATAATAACAAAAAAGCTTAGTGTTTATGAGGCTTTTAATGTTTTGGATCTGCAACAATTTAAAACTCGTTCTCCACCAAAATTAGTAAACTTTTGTCCTTTTTCCAAAATATTGTTCACGTTGAGAGTTAAATTCCCATTTTTGTGGCCCACGAGTACTTTCATCTTGATAGTTTTGGCCCACATATGAAAACATTTAGACACCCCTGGCTTAAACCAAAAAAGCATTCATTTGTGTCACTATTAGTGTTAGGATTAACACAAGCTTAAATTCACTGTTGTTGTTTTTTGTCTCTTTTGCACTTTTATTAATGACTGCAAGCCAAGTTTCTGGAGGGGGGGAAAAAATCACTTACTGGTACTAAATGTAGTTTTGCACCTTCAAAAATGGATTATTGAATGTGACTCCATATAAACTGAGTTAAATGTTTGGTTTCAACATTTCTAACTCGATTTCATCTTGTAGCCTGTATATCAAAACATATTTGAAACTCCTGCAGCTCCCATCTGTAATGAAAGTTTTCAATCAATGGGATTGTACCCACATTTTGCCCAAGGCTTGCCTTTCTGATTTCAGAAAATCCTTTGAGAAACAATTGCACATCTGTTCAAAGGTTGAAAAACACTTCTTACTATAAAAATACCCCATTTGGTAAAATTATTTAGTCAGGGAAAATGTTTTAAAACTTGTTTAAAAAAAGCGTATGTGAGTATAGAGGTCACTGCTGTTCAGAACATCAAAGATTTAGAAAGGCCTTATACAATTTGAACGAACCAACAACAAACGGGAAGTGACTAATTTGAAAATCACTGACACATTTAATAAGGTTTTGAATGTTCTGAAAGAATGCGAAAGTAGTTTTATTTTGCTAATAATGACTAAATTCTGTCTTGTTTTTCCATGTGCAGAAGCGACTGAAGGCAGCTGAAGCAGAAAGCAAACTGAAGCAGGTTTATATTCCCACATAGTGAGTTCATTTTTATATAAATATATAATTTAAAACACACCCAGCTCGCCATGTTTTTTCACATGGGTGGTACCACAGGCCTAGGAACCTGAGGGTTCTGCCCAGTATCTTAGCTGTTCCTTGGACTGCACTAATTTGGAGAAGATCTCTTGCAGCTGTTGCTGGGATCTATTGCTTTGTCAACCCCTAGACCCATTGAGGGCTTGAATCGCCACGTCGTCTCCTTTTTCCTCTTTCAGCCCTTTGTATTTCGTCAGCGTCTTGTACTCCTTTCTGACGTTATGGTGTTTGGAGATTGCCACGTCTTATCATCATTGCCTTCTTCTGTAGCTTGTTGACCACCACAATGTCCGGTGGGCCCTGCCATTCCCTTACTAGGGTCTCCAACTTTGACTTTGGGTCTCCTGCCCATACTCTGCACATGTGTTCCTTTACACTATTTCAGCTAATGGCATTCCATGTACGCTTTGCCTGCCTGCATTTTACATTGCGCTGTGCTGGAATCACTCTGGGGCGTTTTTGCACAGCCTGCATCTTGGGCCTTGTCTGGTTTGGTAGTCCTCGGCTCATGTGCTGCCATAAGTAGTGCCTCTCTGCTCTCCTTGAGTTCAGCCTTCTCTGGCCACTGGTAGGATTTGTTGATATCAGCCACTTTTTCAATCTGCCGATGGTGCATGCTCCAATGGAGCTTATCTTTTCATGATGGCTCCTCTTGTTCTTCTTCCAGCTAGCTTTCATGTCTTGTTATCAATAGCTTCTCTCCTTCTTTCACAAGGCTATTATACCAGCAAGATATCTAATGACTAGCGCTGCATACTTGTTGATTGCTTGGATTTTGTTCTTAACATCCAGCTGGCTCTTCAGGACCTGCCTTACCTTTTGTAGGTACTTACTTAGCTGTGGTTGCCATTTGCTTGTGGGATACCAAGGTATTTGTCTTGGACATCTGCAGTGTTGTCTTTGCATAGTTCAACCTCTTCAGTTGTGATCACCTTCCCTTTCTTGGGTACCATTCAACCCCATTTAACCAGTCTGAATGACATTCAAATGTCCTTGCTGTATTTCCTGGTGCGGTGGATCATTGAGCTGATGTCTCGCTCATTTTTGTCATACAGCTTGATGTCATCCATGCAGAGAAGGTGACTGATGATTGTTCCACTTTAGAACTGGTATCCATAGCCACTCTTTGTGATAATCTGGCTGACGGGAGTTCAAGCCCTTACAGAACTGCATTGGGAACAGTATTACCTTATTATATACTGCACTTGATGCTGACTTGTGCAATTGACTTTGAATTGGCCTCCTGAGTCGTCTTTTACAGTCGTCTGCATGTTCTCACTGAAGTACTGCAGTCAGTCTGTTTCCTAATTACCTTTTTTTTATAACAGCAACAAACCCAACCCCAACCAGATCTCTATGACCAATGGTAAGATGGCAACAGTGAACGGAGCAGGCCCAGGGTCCTACCATACAGCAGGAGGGGGCAGAGCCTGCGAGAGCTGCTACAGTAAGTTTTATTTAAGCATTGCAAGTGTAAAAATCACCAATGCAAAAATAAGAAATGCAAAGGAAACAACATAAAAATCACTGCCTGATAGAAATGCAGCAATATCAGCATCAGATGTCTGTCTGATACCTGGTGGGTTCAATCATACTCTTAAGCGTTCTCACACCACCTGATACCACTTTACAGCAGCGTGCCGTTGACCTCTCAGTTGAGTTGTCACCGTCAAAGTGAAATATACAAAAGTAAAGCTAACTGCAAATTATGCTCAGCAAAATTGTCAAGAAAAGGGGAAAATATGTCAGACTTTCAATGCAAGCAGTTTGATAAAACACCAAAAAAAAAAAGCAACATGACTCCAAAGTCAATGAGCTTGGTAATAGATGCAGGAAACACCAGCCTGCCATGTATCGCATGCAGTCCAGCTGGCTGTTAACAATGGACTTTTGGCACAGAGGAACGCGCTTGATGATTTGACAGTTGGATGGAAAACATTTGGACATTTTAAACCTACTTCATTCGTTTTTACCGGCCTTAAAAATATTTAGGTGGAGCTCAGCCAGCCATTATAAGTCTCAGACAAGATATTCAGATCGGTTGAAATAAAATTTATACAGTGGTCCCTCACCTATCACAGGGGTTACATTCCAGAGACCCTCACGATAGGTCAAAATTCACAAAGTAGCGGTGTTATATATCAGGCTTCATAAACCTTTCCCACTCTTACTATTCAAGTCAACTTTATTTATAAAGCACATTTAAAACAGCAGCTATTACCAAAGTGCGTAATAAAATCAATGGGAATAATTTCATGGAATAAAGTAAAAATAAAAATAATGATAGTACTGAAAATTAATTACAACCATCAAAAGAAAAACAGAGAAATGCAGAGCAATAAAATACTACCGGTAAATCAAGTCGCACTGTGTAAAAAGCCAGGGAAAACAGACGTGAGTACTAACCTTTCCCTGTAATGAATTTAGTGGCGTACCTGAAAATTTAACCAAACACAGGCCACATTCAATTAGCTTTATTTTGAAAAGACTGGTGGAAGTCGGCATACGTCTGTGGAAACGCACTGGGAAGTTTCGCAAGGCGAAACATGAAAATCCAGGGCTCAGAAACTTGTTCAGGATAAGGGGATCAGTCAGGAGCATGAGATAATTGCTGGGCATTTACTTGTGCAAGGCTTTCAATAACCTGGCGCCAGATAGAGAACAGGGGAGCGTTTAATTGCTATGGCCTCCAGGTGAGAAGAATTATGCAGATCACAGTGGAGCAGGTGGGTGTAGTGATCAGACAGGCATGAATCATGACATTCCCACTCTCTTATAAACGCTAAATATGCTCTTAAACATTTTGTCAATGAAGATGATGAGATGACTGTACATTAGCACAGCATGTACAGTACACACAATGTAAAAAAAGGGTTTAAAAAACTCATGAGACAGTGAAGTTGCAATAAGTGAACCATGATATAGTGAGGGACAACTGTACAATAGTCCCTTGCGGTTTTTCAAAGATTGGACATGACACACAATTGGCTGATTGATTGATGAGCCACACGATTAGCATGGCATTTTTATTTAAAATAAGTTATTTTAAATTATTTAGCACCTGTGTGCATCCCACAGCTGCAGAAAAAGCTTCCTCCTTCACCATTGTACAGCCCAAGCTGCAGGAGAAGCTTACTCGCAGCTGATCTTTGCTCTACAGTGGAGAATTGGGCGTGGCCAAGAGAGCTGGCAGGTAGCAGAGTGCAGCAGGAGGCAGAGAGCTGAAATCATGACATTCTGTGCTCTTTTACAGCATTTAGAGTTTATAAACATTGTTTAGAGTATTGCAAGAATGTGGAAATGGTTTAAAACACATTTATATATATACTGGTGCTGGTCATAAAATTAGAATATCATGAAAAAGTTTATTTATTTCAGTAACTCCATTCAAAAAGTGAAACTTGTATATTATATTCATTCATTACACACAGCCTGATATATTTAAAATGTTTATTTCTTTTATTGTTGATGATTATAACTGACCACTAATGAAAACCCCAAATTCAGTATCTCAGGCAATTTGAATATTACTTAAGACCAATTAAAAAAAAAAAGATTTTTAGAAACGTTGGCCAACTGAAAAGTATGATCATGAAAAGTATGTGCATGTACAGCACTCGGTACTTAGTTGGGGCTCCTTTTGCCTGGATTACTGCAGCGATGCGGCGTGGCATGGAGTCGATCAGTCTGTGGCACTGCTCAGGTGTTATGAGAGCCCAGGTTGCTCTGATAGTGGCCTTCAGCTCTTCTGAATTGTTGGGTCTGGCGTGTCGCATCTTCCTCTTCACAATACTTCATAGATTTTCTATGGGGTTAAAGTCAGGTGAGTTTGCTGGCCAATTAAGAACAGGGATACTGTGGTCCTTAAACCAGGTACTGGTAGCTTTGGCACTGTGTGCAGGTGCCAAGTCCTGTTGGAAAATGAAATCTGCATCTCCATAAAGTTGGTCAGCAGCAGGAAGCATGAAATTCTCTAAAACTTCCTGGTAGACGGCTGCGTTGACCTTAGACCTCAGAAAACACAGTGGACCAACACCAGCAGATGACATGGCAACCCAAACCATCACTGATTGTGGAAACTTGACACTGGACCTCAAGCAACGTGGATTCTGTGCATCTCCTCTTCCTCCAGACTCTGGGACCTTGATTTCCAAAGGAAATGCAAAATTTACTTTCATCAGAGAACATAACTTTGGACCACTCAGCAGCAGTCCCAGGCGAGATGCTTCTGATGCTTCTCTTGTTCAAGAGTGACTTGACCCAAGGAATGCGACAGCTGAAACCCATGTCTTGCATACGTCGGAGTGTGGTGGTTCTTGAAGCACTGACTCCAGTTGCAGTCCACTGTTTGTGAATCTCCCCCACATTTTGGAATGGGTTTTGTTTCATCATCCTCTCCTGGGTGCAGTTATCTCTATTGCTTGCACACGTTCTTTCTACCATATCATTTCCTTCCCTTCGCTTCTCTATTAATGTGCTTGGACACAGAGCTCTGTGAACAGCCAGCCTCTTTAGCAATGACCTTTTGTGTCTTGCCCTCCTTGTGCAAGGTGTCAGTGGTCGTCTTAGACAACTGTCAAGTCGGCAGTCTTCCCCATGATTGTGTAGCCTGCAGAACTAGACAGAGACCATTTAAAGGCCTTTGCAAGTGCTTTGAGTTAATTTGCTAATTAAGCGACTGTGGCACCAGGTGTTTTCAATATTGAACCTTTTCACAATATTCTAATTTACTTAGATACTGAATTTGGGTTTTTTACAAGTTGTCAGTTATAATCATCAACATTAAAATAAATAAATATTTGAAATATATCAGTCTGTGTGTAATGATTGAATATAATATACAAGTTTCACTTTTTGAATGGAATTACTGATATATAAATACTCAGATAAACTACCACGTGTACTATTATTCCTACGTCGCGGTTTTTCACTTATCGCGGGGCTTCAGGGTTTGGATCCCCCGCGATAAATGAGGGACTACTGTATATATAGAGTCTTGAGATTATTTTTATCTTAAGCATGAGCTTCCTAACGATGCCACCACTCACCAAGAGATGCTTTTGGAAAATACCATGGTTGTCCTGGCTCTGTTTGAGGAGTGTGTCAATACTGCTTGATATAGGGTGTGTTTAAAAGCTGAGCTGCAGCCAGTGAAGTGTTTAAACAAATATCAACCAAATCTAAATGGTACCTGACCTCAGTGTCTGCTCACGTTTCCTTTCATTCTTGCAGCTTTGCATGTTTCTACAGTCGATAGCAGGCAAACTGTGCGAGTCCTCCTGGTGTATAAATATTGATTCAAAAATAATTTAGGGAGGGACAAACACAGCAGAAAAGAGGTTTATTTTTTGAGTGTCTGAATAACCGTTAGCTACTGCAACTCTTCTAACAAGCATTAACGCACGTTGTACGTTAACAGCCATGCAGTCGGCTCAGTGGTACTCATGGGGACCTCCAAACATGCTGTGTCGCCTCTGCGTTTCCTGCTGGATGTACTGGAAGAAGTACGGTGGCTTGAAGATGCCGAGCAGAGCTGAGGGCCCTGAGGAGAGGACCTCCCCGAGCCCAGCGAGCAACGTAAGCTCAGGCTGACGAAGCAAGCTTAAAAAGAAAAGCATGTTTAAATGTGAAAATGTACTCCGTCTTGAAGGGTTATAGAAATTCGCAAACGTTCAAACAAATCCCATTATGCAGTGTTTCCACATAAGCAGAATTCACACAACTGATTTTGTTATCATTAATGATGTATTTAACTTACAATGTACTGTAGTGTGTTTCACATATTTAATATTATCAGATTCAAGACATTTTATTTTGACTATGTTGATTTTTTTTCAGCTGAGAAAACAAGATGCTGTCAGAAAATGTTTCCTGCATTTTATCACCACTAGGGGAAAAAAATGGCTTTACAGAATGTGACTGCATATTTGTCTTCCTAATTAAAATTTTAATTAAACTTTAAAGTAAATGAATGCTGGCGTGCGGTTAGTGTAAATAATACGAACATGAAAAGGCAGATTGAAATTAGAATGCAAATCTATATTGATGTTATTAATTGGAGCTTTTATGTCAGTGATATGTAGAAAAAAAAATAGTCATTGTAAATAATTTGTATAAATGTGTACAGCTTGTTTTTTTTAGGTGGTGTTTCCACTGCATGTGTAGGCTTTTTGAAGGCTGTAATTTTAAATTACATAAATAGAGTGGTTAAAAATATTAGAGGCATCAGAGTGTTACTCAATCTGCAGCCTCCACAGCGATCGGAGAGTTGAATCAACTTCTCTCTAAATCAGGGCTGCCAGTAGAATTCATTATTGCACTTGTTTAAAGCTCAATTTGCATCTTTCAGATGTTTAATTTAAAACTAAACTAAAAAAAAAATCCACGTGGTTCGTTCCTGCATTTAATCATTCATTCATTCATAAATGTATTTATTTGTTCAATAAGGCTATGCATTTCTTTAAAACACCAAACTTTTGTGAGTGTTTGGTCTTCGGCGTATATTGAAAGTTAATTAAAATGCAAAACGTGGCTCGATCGTAAGGCATTCTTTTTTTGTTTTGTTTTTTTGTGGGGATTATTAAGTATTATTATAAGTATTATTGTTAAGTGGGATGTTAAGGCAGTGTTTTTAAAATGACTTGTTTTATATTTCGGAGTGTTCCAGCTGTCTTAATTGTGTTTCTTTATCTCCTTTAACCTCAGGAGTCTCGCTCGAGGAGTCACGCTCCCCGCCAGTCCAACCACATGGTACCGATGCGAAACAGCGGCAGCCCCAAGTCCTCCATGAAGACCAAGCAGGCTTTCGTGCTGCGAGCCTCCCACACCACCAAAATGGCCCGGCACATGTGCCGGGACCTCCTCAAGCTGCGCCGTGCTGCGCGCCGGCCCTTTGTCCCCGTTAACTGTGGGGCTGTAAAGGCAGAGTGTAAGAGCTCTTTCAATTCCTCCTAACTTCTGCCACATGTCCACGCACACACACACACACACATACACACATCTCCCACCTCATCTCTCCTCAACTTCCCTTTCATCACCCCCGTGCCCCCTTCTCCGCCCTGTTTGTCTTTTTCTGTTTTTATTATTATTGTTATTATTATTTTGTTTTTTGTATTCTCCCACCCCGTTTCCAATAAAGACTGGCTGTCCTCATAACTATGAGTTCTGATCATCTTTTCATTCGTGTTTTTTTATTTTTATTTTCCTTTATTTAATCTGTGGTGGTTCTTGGTAACTGTAAACCCAAATCGAACCCAGTGTTGGAATAACGCACAAAGATTTATAGAATAAGCAGAGCTTTTCTGCACACCCAGCACCTGTAAACACACAATCGAAGTAGTTCCTTACTGATATTAACATGTATAATGTATGAACTTACATTGGGGTTTTATTCCTGTCTGAGCCGTACATTTGCTGCAGTTAGACGTAGAGAAAATGTATTTTACTAAGAAGCTCTATTTTGCATGGTGCCTCTGGGAGCAGTTCGCCCACTTTGTGCTGTTATTACTGAGCGGATCGTCTCAGACACAGATGTTTAATGTTAACGCTGAACGTCAGCTTCACCGTGTTCACCACCTTCTTGTAAATGTTTCTCCCTTCGCACCTGTTTTTTCTCTCATTCTGTTGTTTTCGTAAGCGTGTTAAAAGAAAAGAATGAATGTGAACGTTAGATGAAGTTGGACTGCTGAAACTTGAACGAGTGGATGTTAAGAGAAGACGGCAAAGAAAACGTAGCTGCTCTAAACCTCTTGTGCTGCTGGCTGCATCGCCCTCCATAGATCAGGCTCGCCCATAAGGCGACCAGTCCTCCCCCTCCCCATCTGTAGGATGGCCCCTCACCATCCTTTTCACTCGGCTAATTTCCTTTATTCAGATCATGCAATATTCAGACAGCTCCATCCCGATGCCTCCTCTGGCTTGTAAATCCTGGGGACAGGATTTGCCATTCAGACTCATTTCTCTCTCCGCTCAGCCTCATCATCCCTCATTTTCTAACGACTGTTGCAATAATCTCATCTTCTACCTCCCCTTTTTTTGCTCTTTTTTTTATTTCTTTTCATTATTGTGAGAATGTGAGTCTCCAATAAAGTTGCACCTGAAAGCATCTCTTTGTGTCCTTGTGCTTCATGTGTCTGTGTTATCTGTCCATCAACTCCACCGCAGTTAGGAGAAGTGCAGCAACATCACCCTCAACCCTTTCCCCACAGCATGGGTGCAGCATTCGGTGTCTTCTCGTCACGTCGTCACCTTTGATGTGTGTTCTTGCAAGGCATTTTCATTTGGATGTGCATGTGAGCATGAATCAACATGTAGGTGCATGTCAGAGGAGGTAATTTTATATTTTACATGCATATAGTCACATATGTATTTACATCTTCATTTTTATAAAATAAAAGGAAAAGGGGATGAATTCATCCTTGGAGAGCCTGCGATGTCTGACCCAAAGATGTGTGTGTATGTTTGGTTTAGACATGTTGAGGGTGTCAGAAGGGCAGGGGACTCGACTACCCAAAACCAGAGCCGTCCAAAGGAGCACGCTGACCAGCGTTGTGCAGTTTTTAGGTAAATCCACAGTAAGATCTGAACATAATCCTTTTAGTCCCGTGTTCTGAAAGAAAGTCAAACCACGAAGCATAAATTATTCAGACGCTCTATATGAGCTACTTCATGCAGCTGCAGTGTGGTGTCTTTTCCAGAGTCCCGTCCAGTGGCTCACGCCCCACGCTCCCACCGCACTCCAGGCCTGCAGACGCCTCCCCCCCGTCGCCTCCTCTCCTCTCTCCCACATGGCCCCCACGGCATGCTGGGAAAGCGCAGCTACCATCACCACAGTAGGGCTGAGCCGGACAGGCGCTCAGGTACACTCAGATATTTTCTGCAGGTTTGAAGTGCTTGTTCCTCTTTTATCAATCTGTTTTGTTTCCTGTAAATTGGAATTTATTTGGATTTTTAAAAAATTGACTTTAAGGAGCAGTTCTACAAAATAACTTGTTTTAATTTTAAGAAATATAAAACAGAAAAATTGTAATTTTTTCAAATCTTTGCAGCGGTTGCAGCTTCGAGAATCTTCAGTTACGTCTCGTTGATCTTGGTCCGTTCTTCAGGTTGGATGGGCACCACTTGTGCCCAACAATCTTTAAATCAAACCATTGATTCTCACCTGGATTGAAGTCTTGCTTGAACTTTTCTAGGGCGTTATCTGGTTCTTAAACCATCGGTGTTCAGCTTCAGTGGTGTGTTTTTAGGGTCATTGTCCTGCTTAAGAGTGGACCCCTGTCCCAGTCTAATCTTTTGAAGACTCCAAAGATTTCTCTCAAATTTTTCTTGTATTTTTTTTTCAGTCTTTCCTTCAAATATGGCAGTTTTCTAGTCCCTGCTGTTGAAGAATTTCCCCACAGCATGTTGCTGCCACCACCATGCTTCACTGTGGACAGAGCTCTTGGCACAATGAGAGGCAGTAAATTCACTTTAGATATGACGGGCACTCGTTTAGTCTCATCTGACAGCAGCATCATCTTCTACGACATGTTTGGGGAAGAAATTCCAAACAGTCCAGCTTGTTCCCTCTACCATACCACTTTATTCATTTGTCCAATGGATAGATCCTCCCATCTCTGCAGGAGAGCAGCTAAGCTCCATCAGGGTTCTCTTTGGCCTCTTGGATGTTTCTTTCATGACTCTCCTCCTCAACTGGCCTGTGAGTTTTTGAGGACGACTGTTTCATTAAGTTTTCTCTGGTGGAATCATCTTAAAGGATTTAATGGAGCTTTGTAGGATTTTCAGGGTTTAGTTTTAAAAAGTTTTTTTATTAAACCTTTTGCGATCTGTACTTCTCCACGGCTTTGACCTGTTTGGAGACTTCCTTGGTCCTCATGTTGTTTCTTGCTTGATGATGGATCTTACTATTTAAAGGTGTCAAAACGGTGTTGATTCTGGGGACTGTATTTGACAGATTTAGACAATTTGACTCAAATTAGCTCAAAGATTGAACTTATTTAACAAATAGCATTGCTTCTTAAAGAAATGATTGGTGCTTCAAAGCAAAGGAGCCAAATACACACTGTATGCACACAGAACTTTTCATTGTTTTCCCATAATTTTAAATTCTTTAAAGCAAGTTATTTTCACCAGGTAGTTTAGTAATCTGGAGTATCTTTGGAGAATAATTGCTTGTAATCAAATTAAAGTCCAGATTGTAAGTCAGCAAAATAAACAGCTTGGGATGAATAAGGGTGAGTTTTGCAATATTTGTTTTAATATTACAGTACTCTGATTTTGCTTGACTTGATTCTAAAAAAAACAAAGAGAGTAAAAGCCACCAACACGGAAAAAAAACCCTGAAAGTATTTATTTTTGTCTTTTAAACATAACTTGAACTTGGATAAAACTGTTAATATTAAGTGTTTTTTCTTGCTTTTGCTCAATAAAATCAGAGCTTGAAAACCTTTTCTGCTCAGTAGAAAAAAATGACAAATAATTCCAATAAATGGAAAAGGCAGACGTAGGCATATTTTTTAAAACTATATATATATTTTTTAAACTTAAACAGCAATTGATTGCACCACATTAATTAAAGTGATAATATTCACAATGGACAGTTTTGCAATTTTATCTTTTTTCCTCGCTTTGTGTTTTTTGCAGAGAACCCGGGATCAACAGGTGGACCACAAATGGTAGGTGCAGGATGAACCCTCTCAACTTATTGTAAACACATTCTGCATGTTTCTCGCTTCATATTTAAAAATATTTAATATTTTGGTGTCATTTTGTAGCATAACGGCCGCAACAGCAGCAGTGGAAACACCCGGGGAGGAGTGATGATCCGCAAGAGACGTCCAAACTGGATCGATGCCCCCGATGACAGCTTCTTCCTCGTCACCCGGGAGACCAGGTAAGCAAAGGTGACCCTTTATTGAACTCTAATTAACTTGTTTTGTGCATGTGTGTGTGTGTGTGTGTGTGTGTGTGTGAGAGAGAGAGAGGGGGGAAAAAGGCATAGTGAGAGCCAAGCGTAAATAGATAAGCTGTGACAGAAAAATCTGAGTTATTTTCACTTGTGGTGACCAGATAGCTGCAGAGAGCACAACAGAGTCAGAGTTCATGGTTTTTGCTCCGTCTGATCAAGACGTGAGTTTCACATCAGCAATTATACAAAACACTCCAGTCAATAGAGCTACTTTCAAGCGAAGTTATCTGTTCAGGTTCTTCACACGTAATTTCATGTTTCTCTTTTATGCTTTATATTTTTGTTATTTTTTGGCGTAACTGGGGCCTTGAGTACACAATTTCATTCCACCTCATGCACCACATGTGATCCAAATGACAATAAAGTCAACTTGAACCTTAATTTAGTGGTTTCTTAAAAACAGCAGAACTAAAAGTTTAAATTTAGTCTGTGCAATATCAACAGAGAGCGGCATAAAGTAAATATTCTTACTGATAACAAAACGACGACGACTGTAGGAAACGTCTACAAAAGGAACATAAGGAAGTTTTTTTTTAATCCTTTTCGTTTCTGGAGATTTATTGGATATTTTCTCACCTCCTTCTAATGCACATCAAGTTTTCTTGAAATGACTTCTTTATTTGTTGATATTTATTTATTTATTTATTTATTAAAAACATTGAATGAAAAGGGTACAGAAAGAATAAGAAAATTCTTATATTATCTGCCCCTTATTTAAAAAAAAAAAACAACCCATAAAATAACTACAAACAAACTTAGGAATGAACATAGAAAGTGAAAACAAAAAATATTAGATATCCTTCACATGGCACCATACTTTCCCAACAATTTTAACTTAATCATCTTTTTAAACATATAAATTGTTTTAGAAATTTTTATGGTGATATCGAGGCAATTCCATAATCCTATTCCCTGAATTACAACGCAGCTCCTTCAGACCAGTTCTAAATGGAGGTTTTACAAACATTTCCATTCCCTTAAGGTTATAATGACTCTCTCTTTTTTAAACAAATTTTAATTGAATATTTGTAGTAATTTTTTTTATGAGATTTATACATTACTTGTAAAATACTATATTCAACCAAATCATCAAATTTTAATAATTTAAACTGATGAAATAATATATTTGTTGGGTGACATACTAATAATTCTTAAAGCTGTTTTTTGTAAAAATTTAAATAGGGTTTGTAATTGTTTTGCATGCTTTTCCTCAAACTTCAATACAATATATTAAATATGGAACAATCATTACATTATACAGTATATACAAAGCTTTGTCATTCAAAAACTCTCTTACTTTATACAGTAATGCAATTGATTTTGTTATTTTTATTCTTAAATAATTTACATGAGATTTTCATGTCAGCTTCTCATCAATAACGACACCCAAAATTTTATTTCATTAACTCGATGAATTTCAATTCTGTCAATTTTAAATGGGACTTCGATAATTTTCTTTCTATTACTAAATATCATGTAGTTTGTTTTTTCCAAATTTAATGATATCTTATTATGTTGGAACCAAGTTTGTATTTTTACGAATTCTGTTTGTATCATCTCTAACATCCGTTCAATATCTTCACCCGAACAAAAAAATGTGGTATCATCTGCAAATAAAACACACTTCAAAAGCCCTGACACATCAACCAGATCGTTCACATACAAAATAAACAACTTTCGTCCCAACACAGAACCTTGAGGAACTCCACATCCATTAACACAAAATTCAGATCTTACATCGTTTACCTGTACAAACTGTCTCCTATTATTCAAATAACTGGATACCCACTGCAGTGCTAATCCTCTAATGCCATATTTATTCAGTTTTTCAAGAAGAATGGTGTGGTCAATATTGTCAAAGGAAATCAAGCCAAATAAGACCTTTTTAAAAAATCTTCTTTTTGCCACTGACCAGCCCTCTTGAGTCTCACACAGAGTGCAAAATGCAGTTTTTAAATGATCATTTATTAAGCTGTCCATATCAGGGTTGCCCAATGGTAAAAAGTAATTTCCACCTTTGTTAATGAGTGAATTTACTTGATTTAAAAAAAAAAAAAACTGAGTTCAGTTTCAGGCCTGATTACTGGCAGACCTGTGAAATTTAAAAATCACTCAAACAGAGCCATTATCTAGAAGAGGTAAAACATGGAAAAGTGGTAAACCTTCCCAGGAGCAGCCGACTGACCGAAATTACTCCAAAACCACATTGACGACTCATCCAGGAGGTCCAAAGGAACCCAAAACAACATTTAAAGTTCTACAGGCCTCACTTCAGTTAAATTCAGAGTTCATTATTCGACAATAAAACACAAACAAAGGGCAAAAATGGCATCCGTGGGAGAGCTCCAATGCTAAAACCACTGCTGAACAAAAAGAACATCTTTTCGTCTCCATCCATCAATTATCTTTACCCGCTTCTTCCTTTTTGGGTTGCAAGGGTCACTGGTGCCCATGTCCAGCTATTACTGTATGAGAGGTGGGGGGTCCATCACAGGGACACATAGAGACAAACGAGACAAACAACCATTCACTCTCTCACACACACCTAGGGACAATTTAGTTACCAATCAGTCTAACATGCATGTTTTTGCTCTGTGGGAGGAAACCAGAGTACCTGGAGAAAAAAACCCACGCATGCACGGAGAGAACATGCAAACTCCACCCAAAAAGGTCTCCCGGCCAGGATTCGAACCGGGGCGACCTGCTCGCTGAGAAGCAGCAGCTCTACCAACTGTGCCACCTTACTGCCTCATGTTTTCCAAAAAAAATCCCATCTTGATGATCCCCTAGACTTTTGGGAAAATACTTTTGGGTCTGATGAAACACCAGTGGAACTCTTTTGGTACATGTATGTCCGGTTACATCTGGTATAAAACAAACACTGCATTTCAGAAAAAGAACATCATATCTTCAGTAAAACACGGTAGTGGTAGTGTGATGGTGTGGGGCTGCTTTGATGCTCTGATACCTGGACAACTTGCTGTGATTGGTGGAACCATGAACACTCTCCTCTACCAGAAAAACCAGAAGGAGAATGTCTGTCCATCGGTTCGTCTCTTAGCTTCTTCAGCAGGACGATAATCCGAAGCACAGCAGCAACAATCCTCCACAGCCACGTGCACCTTACTGCCATGGGATTTACAACCAGTTATTACGTTTGAGAGGCAATTACTTTTCCACATTGGACCTCGGATCGGATAGCTTTTTGTCCTCTTCAAAAACTAAATAATAATTCAAAAATTACATTTTGCATTTATTCCAGTTATCCTTGACGGATGTTTAATGATCCGAAACGTGTAAGTGTGACAATAAAAAGAGCACAAACAAGAAATCTGTCAGGGAGTGATTATGTTTCACAGCACTGCGCATTAAAGCTGTTATGCAAATTCAAACCTGATTCATGTAAATCATGTTTACCCGCAGCTCTGTGTATCTCCTCTTCTAACGTCACACAATGCACAACCGAAACCACTTTCTTCTGCCCTCACAGCCATTTAGGAAGCTCAAAGTGAACATTTGAAACCATTAGTACTGCTTGTGATGCATCAACATCATTATAGCTACTGGAAAGAAGCGCGTCGTTGTGAGACGGTGACATTAGCTTTTAGTTTAAAGCATATATTGCACCCCAGAAGACTTCTTCTGCGTGGCTGCGAAGATGGTTTTATTATTATTATTTCATCTTAAACCAGATCAAATCAAACTGGAAATGGAATTAGTGGGTTTTCTGTGAACAGCTTTTGACCAAACATGTTGCTTCAAGGTTTACCGGCATTGCATGAAAAATGTTTTTGTCCTTCCATAACTTTGTACACAAGTAATTTGCTTTATAAACAGAATCAAAAAAGTACTTTAAATATTTTTTGTGTGCAGATTAACGGCATCAGTTCTAACTTTGCTGTAGTATTAGATGATAAAAGACCTCGCATTTCTTAAAGGAATGCATGTCAACCATAATTTATTCCAGCATTTTCGACTAAAATCTTGATGAGAAGACAAAAAATGTAATCCATTTAGAAAAATCCTTATAAATGACCTTATGCACAATCTGTTAGTGGTTGTGGTATCTGTTAAGGACAACTCTCAGGTACTACCACATCAAACTTTTGCTTTGTATCAGTAAACATGGCTGAGTCAAAGCCATCTTTGGGTTGGCTAAGGTCTACGACGTGGTAGCCATCTTGAAATGGATCAACTCCAAAAGTTAACCAGTTGTGAAAGTACATCCAATGATTATTTTCTGAAAGCTTCATTACAAGTGGTTCATGGGATGATTTGTAATATACAGGCAAAGTTTTAAAAACAAATCTCTCGTAATCAGATTGTAGCGTTTACGTTTGGGATCATTTTCTGCTACAATCGCACCAGTTTCTATGGTCAACGTCTAAAACATTAGAGTTCTATATCATAGCAACATTATTGTCATAAGCATGCATTTAATTCTTCTCTACTTGCACATTTTCTGCACTTGAGTGCATGCACTTACAGTAACTTATCAAAGTTTTTCAGTGTCTGTATGTGTGAAAGAAAGATGTTCCTCCATTAGGCCTGGGTCTAAATGAGCTGTGGCACCCGGCTCTCACCGCCGCACTCAGTCCGCCTCGGCTAAAATTAGAGCAGCTAACTGGTGCAGATAGAGCCAGGCACGGCCGAGCCCTGCGTGGAAATATCATTACCGCATTAACCACGACTGCACTCACATAACTCACTGGCTACACGGATCAACATGGCCGAGTGTTGATGTGTGACCAGAGACAGCATCACTCTCCAGTCCGCCACTCGTTAGATGGTCCTGTCATTAACCCTCTCAGCGAGACAATTAATGCCTCTCTGAATAAAAGATCTGCTCTGATGCTAATGAAAGATGATCGGAAGTTGCTTTCTTTCTCCTTCACTGTCTCTTTTTTCTTTCTCCCTCAGCGCGATGGAGAGCATATTGTGTCACAAAGGCGGAGACACGAGGAGTGGGAGATCACTCTGTTGTTCAGTGAATGGGAAGAGAAACGAATCTGGAGTTTCGATGACGATTCTTGTTGCGAAACATTTTAGATGGATTATCAGCGAAACAATTCACCCCATTAAACAAGACGAATATAAAAACCTTAAAGCCCGGGTGTCCAAAGTGCGGACCGAGGGCCATTTGCAGCCCTTGGAGTGATTTTGTGTGGCCCACTACTCTGCAGTTTAAGAATGGTATCATTTTGGCCAGCAGGCTTAAGAGGTCGATGCAGACTTTCTATAAATTAGTTGGTAATCTTTTTTATATAATGTTTAGTTTTAACAGCAAAACAGAGGAAAAACAATCTTCTCCAAATGAGCAATATTAAACAAAATACAAACCTTTGGCTATAATCTTTTTATTTTCACTTCATGGTACAAAACACCTCAAATCTTTACTGATTTCTACCAGAAAGGAGATTATTGGATAATGATTCATAAAAGTTGGCTAAATATTGCAGTTGATAAAATAATCAAAAGGGAAATTGGACATTTTAAATGAATATAACGTGGTATCATCTACATAAGAGTTGATTAACTTTATCAAACCTTCTCTGAATCTGTTGTAGCGACTGACAGCTGGAAGGTTTTTCAGAACTTGGATCAGCCTTTTGGGCCGTCCATGGTCCATAAGGTTGATCGGCCCCCTTTCAACAGGACACTTACTCAAATTACACTTTTGTTGCTGCGAACTTAAAATGAACTTTCCAAACACAAGAAAACAACAAACATAGACCCAACAAATCAAATCCTTTTTAATAAAAAAAATATATATATTTTTTGTTTATGAGGCTTTTAATGTTTTGGATCTGCAGCAATTTAAAACATTCTCCACCAAAATTAGTAAACTTTTGTCCTTTCTCCAAAATATTGTTCACGTTGAGAGTTAAATTCACATTTTTGTGGCCCACGAGTCCTTTCATCTGGATAGTTTTGACCCACACATGAAAACGTTTGGACACCACTGGCTTAAAGGAATCGCCTGCAATATTGCAACATCTCGCACGATGTGTGAGCACTTGAAGTTTGTTTTAGGAGCAATGCTCAGCTACTGCCACACTAAAGTTTAGGTCATGATTGTAAAATTAATTGAGTTAAAACCATTTTTGTGTTTACTACCATCACTTTGTTAGGGTGGCCATCTTGAATTGAGTCAACTCCCAACGTTATGGGTTTCACCCAATGGTTACTTTCTGAGACTTCCATTAAAGTCTCTTCTGTCAGTCATGAGATATTTTGCTAACACTAGAAACGAACTCAGACACTGGCATTATTAGGAATTAAAAAGGATAAAAACTAAGTGCATATTTCAACCTGAAATGTTGAAAAAAGTATCAAGTTTATAGGTTAACAGAACGAGATAGTGAAAATCCACACGTGGAGAATTTTATGGTTTTGCAATTGAAAGTTCATGAATTACAAGTTTATTATTGTTTTCTAGTCATAATTACAACCTTGCAAAAAGGTTTGAGCCTTTTCTTTAAATTTTTTGCAACTGTGCCCTATTGCGAACAAAACTGCGCCGGAGTTTTCCAGCTTTGCTCGTTATTGCTCGATGTCCAAAGGCGAAGGTTAAAGGAGAGTGTTGCTACCGTGTCTGTGTGTTACCAAAACATCTCTGATCCACTGGATGGATTTTAATGAAACCTGCAGACGTGATCATTAGTATGAACTTTTAGAGTTAACCCAATTCAAGATGGCTGCCACGTGCTATTAACCTTGAACACAAATAAAAATGGCTATAACTCAGTCAGTTTTACGTACAGTGACGTAACTCATCTAAATTGCTCAGAGGGCCACAGTTACTGAATGCTAAGAGCTCAGGGGCTGGACATCCAGCAGTTATTGTCATTAAGTAAGTTTGTTTTACAGTTTAAAATCTAGTTTTATTTAAATATGAGCCCATTGGTGGGCCGAACTGAGCACAGGCGTGGGCCTGATTTGGCCCCCGGGCCGTCAGTTGAATAGCCCTGACCTAAAGGTTTGTGTGGTAGTAGCTGAGAGTCATTCCCAGCACATGCTCTTTACGTGATGAGATCTTTGTTTAAAATGTGGACGTTTATTTGGAGTCAATGCTATTAGCAAAATATCTTATGAACCACTGGACAGATTTTAATTGATCTCGCAGAAAGTATTCCAGGACTTTTTGGAGGTAATTCATTTCAAGATGGCTGCCACCGCTAATCAATGGCGTAATAGTTTAAAGTCAAAAACTTAACTCTTAGTCTCATGTTGTATGACGTCATTTACAAGATTTGACAAAATAAAAACAAACCTAAAATTATTTTAAACTAAAGCTCTGCCATGAACAGTAGCGAGGGAAATGCTTGGTTTCAATGAGCGCTAGGCCTTTTGTCTGCTTTTCTTCAATTCTGGATGTTTTATTACTTTGAATTTTCTTATTTCCTTTATTGTTTCTTGTTTTTTGAGCAAACCTGAATTATTGACAAGAACAAAATATGTGTAAACTAGAAATATGAGCTGCCCCTTGGACGCCTTGGTAGCTGCACGTGATTAAGATGCAAAGCATCAAAAACCGGGAAACACAAGAAAGCAGACTTGAAAGAACAACAATCATCAATCAGAGAGTGGAGTGCACTCCAAGGATGTGTGTGGAGACGTGTGGTTGTTGCATGCATATGCAGACGTTTTTAGGCTTCTTGGATGTGCTGCCACTTAACGATAATCATTTCATCAAGAGGAATCTGTTTCTCATTCACAGTGAGAGGCAGTGGTCAAAGAGGGAGAAAATCTGAGGAGTTTAAATCCCAAACTGCCTGCAGGAAACCATGAATTATCACCTGAACACTGTGGTCGTGTACCTTACATTTGTCTCCCATCGAACTGCATTAGCGTCCAAACCAACGGTGTGTCCCCAGCTCTCGGGTTTGGCGCTGTGGGCTGTTAAGAGCTTTTCATCGCAGCACAAAAAGACGCAGCAGTCTCAAAAATTACCTTTTTCTTTTACAAGCCTGAAAATCCTGCAGAGATTTTACATTTTATTTTATTTTTTCTCGTTCCTGATGCTCACTTGCTTTTAGTCCATTCTCTGAAAAGTTGTTTCTTCCCACATGGCTGCAGTTTGATGCCCTCAGTTTGACCTCTGAGTTTGTATTAAATCATTTGAACTAATTAAATTTTTTGTAACCCCAGGCTGGTTTAGACTCTCGGCTGCGGGAACTTTAAACCTGTTTGTTTGTCAGAAAACGGATAAGTGGTTCCTCAGCTTTTCAGGTCCTGACCCACAAAATAAGACTTTCAAAAAAATGTTTATGTTAAAACTAATTATTTTTAACGATACCAAGCTCGTGGATTTAGGTTAAAAACAGTAAAGTTTCAACATTAAAAATTCTAATTTTTAGGATTATTAATTACCAGGTAAACAACGTGAAAACAATCCCCCAAAAAAAGCAAAATTTCTACATATTTTTTAGAGACTGTTGTGAAAATTTCAGCAAATATTCTTTGATAAAAGATTTGATTGTTCCATTTCAGCATTTTGCTGACGGAAAAAAGTCAAGAAAAATAGATTTTAGCTTTGGGCAACGTCCTGACAGGTGGGAAAATCTACAAACATCACTAATAAGCCATAAATACGAGGATACAATGATAGTTCAAACAGCTTAAAAATATTAAAGTATTTTTATCTATTTATGATACCGTACTTGTGTATTTGGTAATAATGATAAAAATATGCTGTTAGCAAACATTTGTTAGCTTTAATAGATATTTTAAACTCGTCTCAAGACCCCTCACTTGTTGTTTTGCGACCCACTGTGGGGTCCCGGCCCCAGCTTTGAGAACCACTGGCCCACTGTATCAGGACACTTGATGATCTGCACCCTGTCTCTTAAAGTCTAGGACACAAGTGTCAAACATGCACAAGCACTTAAATATATATATTTTTTATTTTTTTATTTTGACATTTAAATAACTTTTGGACTAAATATAAATATGAAATGAAAGTAAACGTATTAACAGATTTTTTTTTTTTTTAGAATAGGGTTGAAACTGTTGCCCTGTAAATTAGAAAATAAAATAAAATATGCATTAAACGCTGTTTCACAAGAATTTATCTTCTTGAATTTAACTGCTTATATTATATTTTGTACATTAAACTGATATACAAACATATATATGTAATATATATATATATATATATATATATATATTATATATATGCATATGTATATTTTTTTAATTAAACAGTGCTGAGAAACAAGATCCGATAAAAAAAATAAAAAAAAACATCTGATAAATTTTGGGTTTCATATATTTCAGACCCCACTTACACCCCGTCTCGTTTCCACTGTTCCAGGAGGGCTCGGCGGATGCTGTCCCGGTCCCAGTTGCGGCACGCCTGCAGACAACCCTGCGAGCAAATCACCCTGCGCAGGGTCTCCCACCCTCCGCCACAGGGGCTGGTCCACACCCCTCCACACCCTCACCCCAGCCTGAGAATGCGTGGCCCCATCGTCATCCATGACTGACGGCACACAAATTCTCTGACCCCGCAGCCCCCCCCCCCCCGCCTGCATCTTTACTGATGAGTTCTGATGACCGTTTAATAAATCCTCACTTCTTTTAATCCTTAGAAACCCCTTGGTTACCCCCGGCAACACGTAAACAGGCTGAAGGATGCGACGATGAGACGTGATGCAACAGAAACAAACCTGGCTGCAACCGCTGCCGGTCTTCAACCCCCTGGGACTTTTGTTTGTGTACATATACTCCATCTGGGTGCATGTGTGTGTGTGTGTGTGTGTGTGTGTGTGAGAGATTATCCCAACAACACAAGAGGATATGTGCTGTTTTATTTTTTATGGCTTAACGCGACGACACAATTCTGTGTGAAGTTTGTTTCGATGGTGGATTGTTGTGAAGTTTCATCAGCTTGTATAAAGTTATTTTGCTATATTGGGTGGTGGGTTTGGGTTGGGTTAAAAAAAAAAAAAAAGAATAGTTCAGATCTTTTGAAATGGGGTTTTGAACTTTTAATATCTTACCTGTTGTAGATGGCTCTTTGAATGACCTCAGTTTGGAAAAACAGTTTGATTCGGACTGGATTGATGAGCTAATGGCTAGCTAAAGAGGGGCATTAAAAACAAAAGAAGAGTGCTGCCGTAGGAAGCAGGGGTGCAAGGGGTGCCACAGCACCTCCTGATAAAAGTCAAAATCATATTTAAGATTAAACTAAAAAAAAAAATAACAGATTTTATTATTGCTATAAACATTTAAAATAAAATCCTGATTAGATTTTGAATTTTGTAAACGTGGTAAACAACAATTTTGACTGTGCCATTATTTTCCTTTTAACACCCCACTACTAAAATACATCCCCACAGCTAATATGGCCGCCATCTTAAAATTACCCCAAAACATTATAAAGGTTCATGCCATCTCTTTTTTGTTTGTTTGTTTGTTTACTTTTGCAGCTGTCAGTTTTACGTTACATTCTGGAAGAAAAGTGAGATTACTGGACACTTTAAAGTGGTTCACCTTCACCAGAAGTGCCACAGCTAGCTGCTGCCGCTAACTGCGCTGACAAATTGTATAGGAAATGAGCATGCAATAGAAAAATAACGTAAAGATTTACGAGATTGTTTTTACTTTAATTGCAATGAGAACTTTGAGCATGGAGTTGTTTCAAGATGGCAGGCGTTAAATTTTCGTTTTAGTCCCGCTCAGACTAGTCGTTAGCTCGTCAGTCGGGTCAAAATTCAAATCCATTTAATTCATTTTATTTATTCACCTCATATTCACAACAAAAGCCGCCTCAGGGCGCTGTTCAAAAGAAGTAAACAGAAATTAAACACTATTTGTCTAAACTGTGTTCCTTCAAAGAGTTAACTGCAACAGGTAAGATACTTACTGTTTAACCGATCCCCTTCAGAAGATGTGAGCTTTACGTTGAAGTCATGGGGAGTGGGAAGAAACAAATGTCCATCGCCGACATTAGATAAAGCAAAAACGAACAAAAAAAAAAAAGAAACGCACTACGATAAGTGTGAAGCATCATTTTAAGAAACGACTACCGGCAACTTTTCAGTTTTTCATCTTGAGCTCAAACTAAGTAGAAGGCAAAGTGAAAGAACAACGACTGGGGAGATGATATCCATCAAAGCTCCTGTAACTCCGTCCTGTTCTCAGTTATTTATAATGAATCTGCACGTTTGAAAATGCATAAAAAGAAGCAGGAAGCCAGCCTACATCCAACAGGATGAGCCTCCCTCATGGACTGGTGTATATTCTATTGTATAGCTCATTACAGCACTGTCTTCTCATCCACTTTCTATGGCTCTCTAGCTCCTAAAAGGGCTATGAAAGCACGTCCTTTGATCAAAAATAAGGTATGAATATGTTAAATTTGCCCTCAAGGCTGTAACCAACCTGCAACTACTAGAGGCAAAAACACCACGTGCAGCTTCCTTCTTTAAAACGAAGTCAGGTTTTCTGTTTTCGGGCCTCTTGCTACGGGACACTGTTGCCTCCTGAAGTTGTCTGAAGTCGTCAGCCTTCGGGGGTGTGTTTATTCTAAGTTTAAAAACTGGCATGTTTTTGACCGATGGGGGTCACATGATTTCTTCTCTTTCATTCCGAATGTTTATGTTAGTGTTTCCTGTCTGTCATGTGTTTGACTCATGAATATGCTGAGAATAATAAAAACTGAAGAAAACAACACCTGCCATGCTTTGGTCCAACTTCTTTGGGACTCTGTGTGTGGACGTTGTAGAAAATTCACAAAATATGGCAATTTGACACAGTCATGAGGAATGAGGGGTGCTCTCTGTATATAAAAAATGTTTGCTTACAGCTCGCCGTGAGCTGCATGCAGCAACGCTCGCTGGATTATTCTGTTTGGGTTTGGACTTTGCAGCCCACCTTCACACCGACATGAAAGAAAATGTGTTTAACTTGTTGAAACTGTACGTTCTACTCTCAGCGCCATCATTTTGCTCTTTTCATCACATTTTCAATGGCTACTGATGTTAAAGTTTATAAATTCCTCTTTTCTCTATCAGATTAGCATCAATTAGATATTCCCATACACTAAAAGACAGTAGGTATCATCTGAAAAGGGTCTACTTTTTGTTATTTTATAGGTAAAATTATTGATTGATTACAGCTAAATTAAAATACATTAAAAATATTAATATGCCTATAAGTTCCTGAGACCTTGTGTTCTGATATTGGGACTTTTATGTTATTTTAAAGACGAAACAAATCCCTTAAAAAAGAAACAGCTACAACAGAAGCTTTCTTCATTTCTATCAGAAATATGACAAAATGTGACTTCAACAAACTCAAACCATATTTTCATTGCACACTTTGTGTGAAACAACCAGTGTGCTTTCTAATATACAGAAAATACTATAGGAGAATATAAGCAAAAATACAAGAACATGCAAAGAATCTTGAAAAAAACAAACAGTAATAATAATAAATGGATAAGCCTATACAAGCATAGTGACACATGCCCGCATGTACACAAGTGGCAGGAGCAGAATTGTAAAAATGCTAATAAAAAAATAAAAAATGCACTTTAAACAACACCGTTTATGTAAAAAGAACAGTTTATTCGAGCACATAAAAATAATGTAATAAAACCATTGTAAGCTATATTTTTGGGATCATTATGTGATGTTTTTGGGCAATAAATATTAAAATTACACATTTTCTTAAGCTGTTAATACAAATGTTAACAAATTTATTTAGTGATTTATGATAAATTGTGCACCTATAAATATGCCAATACAAATAAAATCTATATTTTATAGTTAATGCTGTATTTTGGTACACTTAAATTCAGACAAAAGAAAAACATTTTAAATTTGACATATCCTTTAGTTTATTTTACAAGTCTGCTTTAAAGAATATTGGATTTTATTCTTTTAGAGTTTTGAATTTAAATTATATCTGTATACGTTTTGTCGAATAACATACTGTTGTTATTTTACTAACTCTCTACTCTTTAGGTACACTTTAGATTTTAAAATTACTTCTTGATGATTGTGCAAATAAGCACAAGGACTAAAAGAGACAGATTTTATGTGAAACGCTACAGTTTCCAGCTGAAGACGAAGACGACGCAGCTAATTAGCGATCATTGAACGCACCATGTGGATCGGAAAGGAAACTCTCGGAATGACTACCGGAAATCACATTGTTTATCCGGTCACTGTTATTTATATATTTCCGGTTTATATCGTACCATTCATCATAGGAGTTCCAACAGGTTGCAAACGTTAAAAAAAGAAAGAAATCTAAAAACAGAACCGGTGGCTGATTTAACTATTTTTAAACATAATTCCTCTCTTATTTTAGCTGAAGCTCCAGTGGCGCAATCGGTTAGCGCGCGGTACTTATATGACAGTATGCAGCAAAGCAATGCCGAGGTTGTGAGTTCGAGCCTCACCTGGAGCATGTATTTTAACATAATTTTCAAGTTTTTTTTTATTTTATCTTGCCAAACACAGTAACAAACATTTCTTATTTTCATAGTTACTTTATGTACCTAACAGTGACAACAACAATATAAAACGTTACTGCATTCAGATTTTCCACTGTTCGAACAGTTGCTGTCACAAGAAATTGGAGAAATTGACAAGTTGTTTAAACAGTTTGGAGCTACAATTAATTGTATTGTCCTCTGTCTATTAGGGAGTAAAACTAAGTCTACAAGATAGCAAGCCATGAAACCCTAGCAGACTGAATAATTTTAAATCAGTAAAAACAACAACATGAAAAAGCTACAATTTAACAGCATATCAAAATGTTTTACAATACAGCTCATATATTCATGTTTCATTAAATATTAAAAAAACCCACACCCACACCTTACTAGCAGATATTTTTTTACTTATGCTTCATTATCTGTTTTGGATTTAATTTTATATTTTAAGGTTTAGTTTGTCAGGAATGAGTGGCATTCCTATAGATCTAATTGTTTATTTAAAATACAGTAGAGTTTAAAATATACCCTTTTTCTCTGTATATTATTTTGCAATGGCAAACTATATAATGCAAGCAGTTATTTCACTTTGAATCACTTAAAAAATGCAACTTTTTAAAACCTCAATTATATAATTTTGTAATGTTTGTTTTGAAGACTACAAAAACTATAACATTTAGTGGCTGAGCTGGTTTGTGGTTCCCTCTGGTGGTCATTAGTTGAAACTGCACACTGGACAGATATCAGATGATCACCACTAGAGGGCAGCATAACCTCATTCTGCCTCAAAGTTTTTTCCAGTCAAAAACTTGAACGAATGCTTGAAATCAACAGCTGAAGATGATTTGTGTGTTTCTACAAAATTGCAGATTTTTATTACTCATTAAATAAACAGCAATTGCTCTATTTCTTTCAACATATCCTATTATCTACAGTTTTGCTAACACAGCCATTACTGTCATTTTTACTAACACTGAGCTATAATTAGGTATTTGAGCATCACTCTCAACCCATACTCTGAACAATACACAATGTGCAAGATTATTGCTTAAAACTGTTGCATTAATTGTGGCATCACCCCTATTTGTCTGTTAGTGAAATACTTAACGAACCACTATCAAAAATTAATCAGTGAATATCCACCTATAACCAATTAACCATTGGAGTCACCCAAATTTAAGTTGCATTCTATCAAGGAATGCTAGACTTTTAATGTGTACTCTTTTGCTAAGATGTCCTTTCATTTCACTGCTCACAGCTGTCAGCGCTGAACACACACACACACACACATCTTTGTGTGTTTGTGTGCAGGTCTGTCACTCTAAGCCCTGCAAAGCTGGGAATGAACAAGCACAAGATTGCACTAATCATGTGACCCAGTTGTCCTGAGAGCACAGATTCCCCTGGCCTGAAAATGAGAGTGAAGATCAGGACCTCTATCCTCTCCCTCCCACTACACACACACACGCACACACACACTCCTCGAGACACAATCACAGAGCATTTAGCAGCAGGGTATGTTGTGTGTGTTCATCGTTAAGCTCACCCAGACTCATGTAAGCACATGCAGGATCAGATTTTTAAAGTGTGTGTCACTTGTTGGTCCTCTGGATTAGATGTAACTTTTATTTTAATTTACTCCCCTTAAGTCACGAAAGCCTGCATCCTCACCCCCCATCCCAAGAGGTCACCAGGTGGTTGACCAATCACACACCTCCCAGACAGCAGGCCACTTTACTCAATGAGAAGCTCGGTGGAGCCGCTCGAGCATCTGTGTACACGTGTGGAAATATGTTCGAGCATTGTGACGGAGGGGTGGGGTTGAGGGTGAGGGGTGGTGGTGAACAAAAGACAGAGTTTAATATTTGTGACAATCTGTGATTGAACATCCTGAGATCAGAGCAGAATGAGCAGATTTTGCCAGTGATAATCCCTCATCTTGGAAAATTAAATACCACCCTCTTCTTCTCACACACACACACACACCCACACACACACACACCCACACACACACACCAGTGAGGCCCTTATCTAACATGTGTCTCATAACCACGGGTGGTTCCTCAGGGAGCTGTTCTGATATCTGATGAGTTTTTCATTAATAAGACACAAGTCTAATCCTGAGGGACAAACACAAAATGACAGCGGATAAGCCCTGCTTTGGCCACACACACACACACACACACACACACACACACACACCGATTCACCGAGGCACTATTACAAAACATCTTCATACATGCACTTATATTATAGTTTAATCTCACCAACCCAGTTTTGTTCGCCTACATTTTATTCATTTTTTGCTCGTCCTTGTTGTTCAAACTCATGAAAAGCGTCATTGTGCAGTTTAGTCCACATAATATAAACCGCCTTACAGGTTTGGTTTGTTTAGGGCTCTGCTGCGATGTCTAAACTTACTCTTTAGGTATTTTTTATTTATTCCCATGTTAAAAATTTTACCAGAGGCCCTTCTTCCACCTGCACAATTTTAATGGAAATGATAATAATCCAGGGAAAACTGGTCCATTCGTTTGCCGCTTCTAAGCTGGATTGCTGTCCAAATAAATAAATTAATTTAAAAAATATCTTCAGCTGATCCAAAATACTGCTGCCAGTACTTTTCTGTGTTTGTCTCGTCCCTTCCTCTGTAACTCTGATAGAGGCAGATGAATGTTGGGCAGAACTCCTCCCTGAGCGATGGTCACCCCTCTCAGCATCTTGTTGAGCTCCTCATCATTGCAGACAGCCAACTGCAGGTGTCGGGGGATGATCCTGCTCTTCTTGTTGTTGTGAGCCACGTGTCCTGCCAGCTGCAGGATCTTGGCAGTCAGTCACTCGAGCACCTCCGCGCAGGTAGATGGAGATGCATCTACGGCGCCTCCTTTACAGCTCATTTTGGATTTGGGGCTGTAATCGAGGTAACATTTGAGCTTTGAGATGTTAATCAGCTGCTCTCGGTTGTAAAAAAAAAAAAATCACCTTGTCGTCATGGTTACGCATCATAACAAATGTCCAAAAGTAAAAAGGTTTCAATAAAATCCTTCCAGCTGCACAGCATCTGATAATCATTGGAAAAAAGTCGTTTACGTCCAGACAAAAGAGGAAATAAAGTTTTGAAAAGCAATGAGAGTAGCAGCTACTCCAACGTGCAGACACTTTGAGCGGCGCAATTCTACAAAAGAAGTGTCATTAAACTGTGTTGAGCAGGTCAGGAGTTATGGGCCGGGCAAGAGAAAGTTTACAGACAGACGGAAATTTAGTGGGACTAAGTGTGAAGTAATTAGATAAAACAATCAAAGGTGGACTTCTCACAAATATCTTTGGAATAAAATTTACTTTGTACAATGATGCTGTTGAAGTTCAGTCGGGCCTGGTGGTCATGGGTCCAACTGCTCAAAGTGTTGAGCGGAGACACACTCAGGTGTAAATCAGATGTTTCTAGCTGTGCTCAGGTTAAATATAAGCTGCTTGAAAAAGTTGAAGGTCAGAACACAACTAGCACTGATAACTGGCTGGTAACCATGGTTACAGGTTACAACGGCAAGACGCACCTTTAATTTTTTTTTTTTTTTTCTAAATAAACAACTGTTAAACAAAAGTTAACAGCTGTGGACCAAACAGATGTTCACTCAGATTCTCAGCGATGGAAGAGAAAACCCAGTTTTGCTTTTGTCGGTGAATAAACCACAAGTCATGAATACAAATTTAGAAAAGTCGTTTACAGATGATGACTTGGTAAATAAAAACAACCTTTTGATTTTATACACTGAGGCAGGAATTGTGTGAACACTGAGTCAGCATTTAAAATGTTGTTTTTCCATTTTTTTTTTGTTTTCTCTACAGTTTTTGCATTCTTTGTGCCATTTTATCTAATCATACACCAACAATTTCAGTTTTATTTCATTTAGTAGATGAGTGCTTTGACTTTTGACACATTCCAGAATAGGCACATTTATTTACAAAAGTTTTCTTGACAGAAAAACATTTATGTCTCTTAAAGGGACCTCCACCTAGTTGGAACAATAGACTTTATTTGACAAACATTTAATTTAGCTATAAAAATGAGACCATATAATACTGCAGCCTGTTTAGTGATTATAATTTTTAAAATTATTACCACACAGTTGTT